CGAGCCAGCCCGAAAGCCGTCTTCCGATGCCTTCCCCTGAAAGAGATGCAAACGTGTGCGGTTTCTGTTTTGCTTAGCCAGGAACTAACTTCGTTGGTGGCTCCACCTACGACACCGTGAAGGGCTTCGCAGAGCATGAGGCAATCTTGTTGCCTGCCAAGATTTGACTCAGACTGCCTGCGTAGACAAGCTCGACGGAGCCACCGTGTCAGGGTTGGAAAATATTAATAGCCGTGTCCCCCCCCTGGAGGTGGACATCACGGGACTTGTGGCCAAGACCTTCTACTGGGCCGTGGGCTTGGACATTCGTGTTCTGAACAAGACTCCAGAGTTCCTAACTTAAGTCACTGGTGCTCTGCCAACGGCTATGGCGTGCTACCAGGTGTACTGCTACTCGCACGACGATGAGATCCCAACGAACAATGTGGTCACCTCGTCGCAGATGCTGGCAACAGAGCGGAGCGCAGCGAGCTGAGCTGCGAAGCAAAGCTGCGGGTCATAGCACGGCCTTTGCTCGAAGACTGCTTGCCAGCTGTAGCCAAGGTCAGGACGCTGGACACCACTCCTCCGAGTTTTGGCACCTTCGCCTGCGCTGAAACGCCTGCTACAGAGGATTCCTCTTGCAGCGATTCCCCACTTTAGCAGCTCTTGTACAGTAGTTGCCGGAACACGATGCCTCGGAGCCAGGACAGCATTACTGTTACCCTCAGTATGAACGAAGCTGGACGGGCCTACTGCAAGGCGGCTTCCGGCTTGAAGCACACCATGATACGAGTCACAGTTCAAGGTGATTGAATGTTACGTCAGGTCGTCAACAAAGGCTTCGACCCACCCACTCCAAATGCCGTGATCGCTGAAGGCCGGACGCGAAGGACATGTTGCATACTTGCAGCCTGCGACGGGTGGACAGCACGAAGGCTTCTACATGGACGTCTCGACGACTTCACCTTTCACGATCATGGTGAACCAAATCACGACGGGACTGGGGGCGACTGGCGTTTGACTCGGCTTACGCATGCCCACATGTTCGGTAGATTTGCAGGCTGTGCGTGTCTCTGTGTGTGTGTGTGTGTGTGATTCGGTGCTGTTTGCAAAGCCTGGTCACATCCCTGCTTCCCAAGGCCTCGAGCCCCTAAACCGGAAGTGGGACTACGACGTCTACTGCTGGGCGCAGGTCGCCTCTTCAGAGTGTAGGGGTGGGGGGTGGGGGCCAATCTCGAAGGCATTGTCTTGTTGTGCAGATGGCCCGTGTGGAAAGTCATATCAGGATGCGGAGGGCTACCCGTACTATGGGCCAAACGGAATGGCTGCAGCCGAGGCACACCGTAACAAGTGATTGGAGCTGAGGAACCTTGGGGCTGTCCAGAGCGGTCGCAGGCGTGCCCCAACAACTTTGTGACCACGTTGGACCTCACTCGCCCGAACATGCGGTTCATCATGGCCGAGTCCATATCTGCAAGCCAGATCATCATCACGCTGCAGGCTCTCGCCAAGGGGATGCATGCAGAGGAAGGGTTTCTTGGGCTACCGTCCGAAGCACGGTTTTGCGAAGCGAGGTGGACGAGGGAGCGATGGTGTCGGCCTTGGTGGATGAAACTTATGCTACACAGGAGGCAACGCCACAGGAAAGTATTACATTCCCTAGTCTTCGTTCGCACCTAAATCAGCACGTGCCTAATCTTATGATGCACAAGGACTATAGGCAAGTGTTCAGGGAGTTTAGGCCATGGCTGAGGGGTCGAAAGCGGCCTTCTTGCGATTTCAAGTGTGCAGTCCTCCTTCACCGCTGTTCCACGAGCCCTTCGCTTCGCTCTTTCTCTGACTGTTTGCCTTTTGCCTTAGTGCGGTTTTGGCATCCGTCGGGCGAAGATGTGCGTCATTGTTATTATACAAGAGCGGCACGAATACAGAGACTCCAGTGAATATCACGGAGAAGTCAACAAGCAATCGCGATGCCATGAAGTCAAGTTGAACGGATCCTCTGCGTCTCTCTCGTGCTCTGCCTTCCTTCGTTCTTCCCTCATTATTTCTTCCCTCCGTCCGTCCGTCCTTCGTTTTCGCCCTCGCACTCGCTCTCACTCGCTCTGTGTCTCTGCTTGTTGTTTTCCTCTTTTCTATCTTTCTTCCCCTGCCACGCTCCTTCCAGATATACATCCAAATCTCTTCGGGGGCCCAGGTGTGGTGCGCAGCTTGGGCGAGCGATCCAGGTGGCGAGGGCCCAGCAGCATTCAACTTTGAGCGAAGTTCGATATCATCACGAACTTCGGGGTGGAGTCATGGGCTCCCTCTGGAATTTGAATGGTTGCAGATGGTAATCAGTTGTGTCAGTAGTGCAGCTCAGCACTGGGTTTTGCCAGGCTTGACGTCGGCAAACTACGTTGCCATGATCAAGGGCCAGCAGAGCACTTGCCACGACAGCAAAGGCGTGGTCACTGGGTTTGCTTGGGATAGGGATTCAGCATCTGGCGAGTCGTGGAGTCGTTTGTCGGTGCTGTGTGTGTTCAGTAAGAGCCTGTCGCGTTCAGTGCAAGCTGCAGGCCGCCAGTGTGGCACCTTCTGGATTTATGCACCCTGCCTGTGCACAAATATTTCGGTGGGATTGGGTTCAAGGCCGTGCGGAGACAAGTGTACATCAATCATATCAGCCGCTCGCGGACCTTGTCGCCGGACCCTCCTAGGATCTCGACGACCTCGAAGACACGGCAGCCGACGGTGTCTCGACCCAAGCCGAGTACGAGAGCCTGGACAATTGGAGATTCAACCAGGACAGAGTGCTCCGGATCTCTCTACGGATGATGTCGAATTCAGTCACGCACAAATGCAAGGCAGCAGCCATGCGTCGCCTTGTAGGAATCCCACATATGGGCAAGGCGGCAAGGGTTCGGATCCATGTGAACCTGCACGCCGACCATCTTCCTACTTCCGCTCCACTTTCCCTACTCTTGGGCTCCCGACTCCGGCCCTGGTGTTTCTATGACTCTCGCCTCTTTGTCCCCGAGTTTTGCTTTTTTGGGCTTGCTTGCACGATGTTATGCCAACGCCGTTCTGTCTCGACTGTCTTGTCATGCGTGAGAAGCCGCCAGGACTTCGACATTATCGTGAGCGGCCTCACTGAAGAGACTGACTATCCATACATCTACTGCTACGCTGAAGATGCCTGCGGCTTGGGAATCGATCGCTACTGCAGCTGTGGACACTGCCCTTTGCCTAGCTGCTTCTCCGCCCAGGATGAGACGGATGGAGGGAGCAGCGGGCCCGGCAGCAGCCCGATGGTGATGAGGTGGGACGATGTCGCCGCCTGCACGAAATGCAGGGCAAGCCGCTGTCAGCACGCCTCAGATGTGGGGTGCACTATAGGAAGTAATCGGGCGTGGAGAAGACTTGACTTCGTTTTCGAAGTTGAAGCTCCAGGTTTTTGTCACAAGTTTGGACAGAAGGGATTTGACGTGTCGCAGTCGGTGCAGTGAAGTGATGACACCGGAGCATACAGCACCACCTATCTGTCCACAGGAATTCAGGAGCTACAGCAAGACTGCAGCATGCCTAGCCTAAAGATACGATGCACGGCCGTAGAAGGGTAATCTGCTGCATCATGTCTTTGCAGTTTCCGCTTGGCCAAGGGCACTGCCGGGCCCGACAACGTCCACACCATCTGGGCCGGCACCGGCACCGTTCAGAAACTCGGCGCATCCACGTGCTGCCAACAGCCGAAGCTTCCACCAATCCTCCAATAACGACATGTCTGCAGCTCGCTGAACCCGTGACACGGTGGCCTGCCCCATAGCAGGTATCAGCAAACAGACAGCGAGTTCGATGCATCATTGTTATGGTAGCTGCAATGTCGTGTCTCCGGACACAAGGACCCTCGACGAGACACCGCCGGAGTTCACACAGCTCTCCATCAAGGCAACCAGGATGCAATAAGCCTGCCAAAGACTTATAATAAATAAACTGCTTCGCCCTCTTTGTCTACGATGATCTACCATGCCAAATCGAATTGGGATCGGGGCTGTGCTGCAAGAGCTGAATGCCTCGGCCAGTCAGGTGAAGGGGATCACTCAAAACCGGGCTAGCTTGAACATGGATGGGGAAAGCCTTGTTGTGATGAGCCTCTCCCCGCTCTGGCTTGAAATCCTTCCCAATAATGAAGAACCACCTCTCCCCTTCCGCCCCCACCTCGCTCCGCAGCCTCCTGCTCCCTCGTTAACACTGACTGCACTGTTACACTCCAGGGCGGGAAGTTAGAACCAGGTTTTCAGAATCTCAAATCTTGTTACCGGGCTACACAAAGATCATCCACAGGACCCCACGGACGACAACGACCGACTCGTGGTCACCTTCTCTCTCAACGAGGCACCTTCCTTGGCGGAACATCGTGGTGAGTGGCGCGCCTCTGCAATCCTGTCATGTTTAGGCCGGAACCGCGTACTGCCGAACGACACGGAGCGATTCTGGTGAAACCGACCTTCAGCGCAGCACTCAGCCAGATAGCACGGGTGGACTGAAGAGCCTCAGCGTGAAGCCTCGAGAGTAAACCCGACACGGCAAGCCTCCAGGATCAACCGGATCTTGTCTGCCAACTACTACCAGAGCGTGGGTGCTGGCGGCATCGTCGAGCTTTAGATGGCAACTAGAAGGACTTTTTATCAAGAAGATGAAGTGCCTTGGGTCATGGTCATGCCACTTGCAAGTCCTGAGGGTACGATCACCATCGATAAGCTGGAATCGTCAGACACGCAGACACTCTACGAGGCATCACCGAGCGAGAAACCACGGAGATTCGGTCGCAGCTCGTTGCCACTGGAAAAGCCACTCATTCACTGCATGGAATAGGTCGAATAGGTGCCTGTCCGCGAGTGTCTCAGGGCCTCAGCCAAAGTTGTGATCCGAAAAACAAGTCGGAAGAACTCTAATAAAGTACGTACTGCGGATTGTGAATACAGGTCGTCATGTCGTTAGTGCTCTGGGAGGCCTCGCAGTACGACGTGTACTGTTGGGCCATGGACTCGGCGGTGAATACGCAGGGTCTGCCAAGACCGAACTACATGACACAGGCCGAGAAGGGCTCAGGGGTGCGACTGCCCAAGTTTTTGATCCACAGTGTTCTGCTTGCCCTCTGTGAGACCTACGTGAACACGCCGGTGGGCACGACCCTGGCCCATGCGCTGACCTCGCCCAGTGGGGGCAAGACGCAGTACGTCTGGGTGAAGGACAGGACGCCACCGTCAATGCAGCTCGGGCTTGGCAGGCTGATAGATTTTTTTTGCCAGGCTATTTCGGAGCAGATAGGAGCCCGGGATCTAGTCGTCTGACCGTTAAGGATCTACGTCTCCTCGGAGGCCCTCTCCGAGGACACGATCCAAATTACCCTTCAACTCAACGAGCCAGGCGCAAGACTCATAGTACAGGATGACACCAATCCGCCGAGACGTCTCACTGTGCCTGTATGCCATCAGCAGGCGGAGGCAGTCGCTTTCGACAGTTATTTCTGCAGCACTTGAGTTGTCTACCATGGCATGACTACAGATTTTACGTCCCACAAGTTGCATCGCAGGGTGGCATGCTTTAAAGGCATTGATGTGACACGCTGCCAACAAGCAGGCACAGTTTGGTGCATGCCGACTCTACCATCGACAAGTATATATGTGGACACTGCAGACATCGCCAGCGGAAACTTCAAGGACTTTCGAAAGGGACAAGTTGGGGTGTGATTTGCAGGGTCATCCAGGATCCCTGGCCGAGTCCATTAGGCGACCTCACGCCGACAAACCAAGCATATCGACAGGACAAGATCACAGGAGCCAGCAGCCCTGTATCATTCCTCCAGTATGTGCCGACAGCTTACACCAACATCGATGTCGAGGTCGACAGAGTTGTCAGGCGCGCGAGACCCTGCACAACAGAGGAGAGCTTGGAGATGGTCCAGTGAACACATTGCGCATACTATGCGTCGGCATCTGCATGCTCTGCATACCATGCCCTCCAGGGGGTATAGTCGTAAGAAGAGCAAGCCGTCTGCCACAGTGCCCAGGGATGATGCTGCGGGAGCACCTCGGATCGCAGAAAGGATGGGGCTTCTGACTTCTGGTGTGGCCGATAGTTGGGACCTCTTGTCAATCAGTTGGCACTTTTGCTGTTTGGCTATTACGTGATGCTGTCTTACAATCTAGTTACCGCCTGCCTGGTTGTAGATCTGTGAATGTCTTTGCATGCTTCCTCCCGCGAACATGGTAACATAGAGACGGCCGTACGCACTGTTTAGCTTGAAACACTGCAACTGTCCGCATCATATCAAGGCGGCATATCTGGCTGCCGAATCGCCGTACAACATCTGGTGTTTCGCTTCCGACGACTGGGATTTCGAGGCCGTCGCTGTGAGGCTTGAGGTCCGTACTGTGTGGAGTTCTGGTCTGCGTGGTTCAAGCGTCATAAGCCATCTGCTGTGGAAGACAGGTGCCCCAGAACAGTGCAAGTGCGATCCTCCACTCCCGAAGCTCGTTCTAAACCTATGGCCTGCAACGGCCTGGCTCATCAGGGCGGGAGGGCGAATCTTCAGGCTTCGACCCGATATCCTCGAAACCCTCAGATCCGGAGCCCGAATCCCCTGAAGCCCTGAGTGTCTCGTGTGACCTACCAGGCGACTGGGGCGGCACAGCAGTCCATCAACTTCCAGTCTGGCAACGTAGGCGCACCAAACGAGGCTGCTTCCTCGAATTGGAGGAAGGTTATGGGACGATGTAGAGCTAAGGTTGAGGGAAAGGATGCTAAGTTGCTTGTGATGCTTTTTCTTCTCAAAATAGCTGAAAAGCTCAGACTTCGGCCTTGATGCTCTTGGGCGTCTGCTGCTGAGGTGGTCTACCAGGATGTACTGGATTTCTCCTCCGCAGCAGCTTGGACAGAGAATATATAGTTCTTTCATCCCCCGAAAGGTTTCCAATCCTTGGTCGCGACTACCGAAACCAGTCTTAGAGAGATGGCTGGAGTCAAGCCTGACGCAAGGTTGGTGAAGTCATCACACTTGACCTGACGCCGCCGACAATCCAGATTAACAGCGCCGCTGGGCTGGAAACTTTTGAACCTGCCGGGCCCGATCCTTGAGATTCAACCCTCGAGATTTCAGGCTCTCATCCATCTTTGCCCATTCGGCTATGCAGGTGTCGACGACGGAGACGACGATCACGGTGAACTTAGAGCTTAGCGAGACAGGGACGGCCTGGTGCCAGGTGGGACACTGGCCAAACGGCTTTTCAAAGGTTTGTCGCTAGATTGCAGAGCCTGACCTGCTTTACAGCGATTGAGCTTGTAGTGGCCAGGCGGTTCGGCACGGCTTCAATGCAGTGGCCCCAGACCGGGCTCGTGTAGTGCTTTCGACAAGCAAGTGCCCCCCATACATCGAGAAACAGGTGCCGACCATCCTGGAGATCCTGGACAGCAACTTCACTTCGGAGTATGTCCATGTGAGCCGCCCGTCGCAGCGGAGGTTTCTAGCGAGAAGACCCGCAAGCCACAAGCACCACCTTGTCGTGCCCTCTTGAGTCGATACATCCCAGGCCCTACAACGGTGCCGGTAGATGTCGAGATATTGGGCTACGACCGCCCGAGGTGCGACGCGTTGTGAGATCCTCGGGCTTGGTCGGGCTCGTGGGATGCTACAACACTGCCCAGGAACTGGGACCCCACCTACATGACCCCGCTGCAGTTCGGACCTCAGAGCCATGATTTTGGCAGAGCCTCTAACTCACCGATACACCGATACTCTTTGTGCGTGCTGTGCTTAGGCTTGGCACCTACTATGACATCTACTGCTATGCCGACGATGACCTCTGTAACGGCTGCAAAGTGACGAATGGCGTGTCCTTCAACTACGTGAGTAGCTTGACCTGGTGCGGGAGCGCTTTCTGCCGGGCTTGGACAGCCACTGCTTCGTCTCGTCTTAGGCACATCAGCTGTCGAGCTCAAGGTCCGCACGCTGGACCTCACACCTCCGCAGATGAGGCTTCGATAAGCAGAGAGCAGATTTGCAAGTGTCGTTCTCGATAGAGTCATTGAATGCTGTGCAAAGGGCATGCCCTCATGTGGCCCCAACTACTCCCCTTGATGTCATCAACAAGTATGCCAGCGTGTCTTGCTTTTAGCATCACAGCTCACTGTTTGCTTGCTTCCCGGCCACCAGGTTCATTGCAGCAGAGTCCATCGCACACGACCAGATCATCATCACGCTGCAGGCTTGCAAAGTCCGAAGATCTCGAGGTGCGAGCAACCAGAGGTAGTGCCGTGTCAGGTGGACGAAGGTGCCAGGGTGTGGTGCGCGGCATGGGACACGGATCCGGCTTTGGTGGCTGCGGGCCAGGTGCAAGTGCTCCTTGAGACGTTCAGGGAGGAGGGCGTGTTTCCTGTCTCCGCCGCTGCAGGACTACGAAATGAAGATCAAAGCCAAGGCTTCGGATTGCGGCTGGACTTGGGTGTCTGTAAGATCTGTAAGTCTCCCAGCTCCGATCCATTGGAGCGTTGCTTGCGAATTGTCTTCGTGAGTCCGGTGCATGCTCCCCGACAAGGGGCAGCCAAGGCACAGACAGCTTCGGTAATCAATGTGGGACCTTCTGGATCTACGACATGGATGCTTTGGCGGCACTGGCGACGGTGTGTCATGGAGATCAAGGTCTTGGAGCATCTACAGTATTGCTTTGCTTAAAGTGTTGCAGGGCAGTCGCTGGATTGCTTGCCGTTGGAGGGAGTTACAGGCGACTGGCCTACATGTTCACTCCCACAGATCAGTGGGATGTGGCATGCAGAACATGCACAACTATGTGCAAACTTTGCAAACCCCGTGACACCATGAAGTACGACAGCATTTTCCCTGCAGCTGGCCTGCTAGGTCACCTTACGTCAAGCCATTAAGGATGACATTGTCGATGTGATCAACGCGGCCGACGGTGTCACCACACGGGCTGAGTACGAGGTCGCCAGGGGAGATCAAAGCGCTAAACGGTCAGTTTTTGCAGCACACGGTTCGGCAGAAAGGCTTGATGGCCATTGGCCACTTCAGGGAACTTCAGGGTGTGATTTGATCCGCTTGCTACTCCTGCGCCTGGAGGCCACAACTTGGAAGTACAACCGAGATGTCGACATCATCGTCAGTGGCCTCACTGAAGAGACGGACTACCCGTACATATACTGCTTCGCCGAGGCCCGGATTGAAGGTTCCAATGTCCCAGCTTCACTCTTCGGGTAGCGAGAGGACGACGAACTGACACCCAATGCAATGATCTTCGACAACGCTGGGAATTCCGGGCCGAGGTGCCTGCACCTGCCATGCCCAAGGGAACAAAACGGACGGCGTTTGCTCAACTCCTGTCCAGCAGGAACGTGTACACGATGTGGACTGAGATTGGCACCATTCAGACACTGGACGTTTTGACCTCAGAGCAGAAGGTTTTCGAACATGTATCGTCGGATTCACAGATTGAGTGCGGGCCAGTTTTGCGGTGCAGTGTAGTTTTGAACCCTGCCTGCCAGTCAGTATAGCTGTCTCCCCACGATTGCTGCGTTTAGCACGCTGCTGTTGCATTCCAGTCTCTGCATCTGTCCCTGCAAACAAATCTCACGTTCCTTCCCTGCCCATCTGGCGTCTTCTTCTGAAGTTCTCTCGGGTCCGTCAGGCCCCAATCTTCTGTGGTTCCTGGTGCATCCCTGTCCCTGGTGCTCCCCCTGTAGGTGTTGTGGGATGCCACGCATCCAGCTTTTCCGACAGTTGGTCCGTGAAGTCAGCACACAGGCTTTGCACGAGTCTTTTATCCGGTCATCCCTATCTCATACCCGGCCTGTGATTAAGCGACCGTCACCTGTCCTGCCTCGCCGGCTATGTCTAGTGGCCAAGCATCCAGGTCTAGGAATAGGCGCAGAGCTATGTTCGCGCGCATTTACCATTACATGTGCAGGCACGCATGCGTATGCACAAGCAGCTTCTGATGCGCACCCACATTCTGGTGATCTATTCTATCTATCTACCTACTTGGCTGGCTATCTGACAATCATATTTGCATCCGTACAGTACATCGGTACATGTACGCTTACGTACATAATGCATGCGTACATACATACATACATACATACATACATACATACATACCTACAGACCTACAGACCTACAGACCTGCAGGCAGTTAGACAGACGGACACTCACAGACTTACGTGAAGACACCCGTATGCCCAGAAATCTGTCAAAGCACATAAATATGCGTGTGCTGTGTGTGTGCGCGCTCGCTTTTCTTGTCAGCGAAGTTGCAGCAAGGGTTCCCATGCTGTCCAATTGTTGAGGAGACGCCGCCAAGCTTTACGAAGTTGGCCATCACAGATCCAACCGCAACGAACGACGAGATCGTGGAACCTTGGCTTCAGTCAGAAGACCCTCTTCGCAGATACGGGGGCGCGACAGGCTGGTCCAGCAAGGGTAGCGAAAGTCTTCAACTGCACCTTACTTGTGTTCAGACGGGTGGGTGTAAGGGTCGTGGCAAAGTTTCTTGTGTAAGCGCTGATGGTCATCACAGGCACAATCGTTTGTACAGATCACGTAGCGACAGTCATCCCGATGACCAGACTGGCGGGGCCGCAGTCAAAGCCATGCTATTAGAAGCATCATGGCAGTCGTGATCTTAATTGGTTTCCGCAGTGGTGCGAACCGTGTCAGTCCTAGTCTTGATAGAATACACAACTGGGAGACCTATGCTTACGATCATGGATCCAGCCCTTGAACATTTCAAAAGACGACCTCAGGTCACCTTCGCACTCAATGAGGCAGGCACAGCTTACTGCCGTGTCACACTCTCGAACTCAGGACCGCCTCCAGAGAGAGAGAGAGAGAGAGAGGGCCCGGCGAGGTAGATTTCGCGTATGTTGATGATGGTACAGCTTGCAGGAGAGACGACGCTGCGAATCAACCAGATTCTGTCGGCCAACTTTGCAGCTGTCGTGGCAGGCTCGATTCGATTTGCTTTTGTGTTTCCGTTCTGATGCAGAATACGTGGGCTTTTGGTGACACGGCACAGCACATTGTCATGCAAGCTTTAGTTATTTGTTCATATACATATTTGTATGTATATATATATATACACATACATATGTATATGTATATATACGTATGCATACAGACATACATACGTACGTATGTCCATACATACATACATACATACATACATGCATACATACATACATACGTACATACATATATATACACACACACCCATTTCGCTGACGATCTGAACAGGCCCCAACATTGACAATGATATCACCATTGACAAGATTGAGGCGAGCGACACGTGCCTGCGGCTGCAGCGTAGAAAAAAGATGGCCTCAGTTGCGAGTGAGGCCGGCTACAAAGCCCCTAGCTGTTCACCAACCGACTGCCTGAACGTGAACTCCAACCCAGGCAAGGCCTGTACGAGGGCAACCAGTACGACGTGTACTGCTGGGCGAAGGAGCGATCGAGTTGCGTCCAGTCTCGTCCAGTCTGTCCGGTGTTCGAAGAGAGAGACATGGTGTTTGTGTACGGATCGGACTTGTGAGCACCTTCAGCATGAAAAATGTTTCAATGCTCGCTGGCTTCTTCCGGAAAGTTACTTGTCGTCCGCGACACATCTGCGTTGTTGCGACTTTAGTAGCAGAGCTTTTCGGAAAGATGCGGGCAAGAGTCCTCTGTCGCCCGGCCCGATTCAGGACAGCGCGGTCGACACGTACGGGCATCCGCGCCCCAACTACATGACACAGGCGGCATCTCGGAGCCTCCGCTGGTCGCTACAGCCAAGCGTAAGGATTGCTGCCTCGTTCCACCACGATCTTGCAATGTCTTGCTCGCGCAAGTCCCTCATGCATCTCGAGTGCCTCATTTGCTGCCAGAGCTACGTGGACACTGACGTGGGAGCCAGCTTCATGACCGCACCAGCCGGAGGACGCACCCGCGAGGCCCCAAGCCACTCCTGCAGGCACGTTGTTCACCGGCCAGCAGAAGCCGGAAACAGATTTCCTGATTCCAAGGCTACGTCTGGCTCAAGGACACCACACCGCCGACGCTTATTTACGTGACCTCCGAGGTAGAGAGCGCATGCTTCACGAAGATTTCTTGTATGGTTGTATTCAGTATTGGCAGTCTTCAATGTGTCTTTCGGGTATCCGAACTTAAGTTAGCTTGGTGGTTACTATTCGACAGAGATCTCAGAGCACAATGGCAGCAGTGCAGCCGTCCAGGCCATCACAGACAGCAAGCTCCAGATCACGCTTCAGCTGGACGAGCATGGCTCTTGATTTCATGGGACCGGCATGGGACGGGTCGGAACCACCTACTGTAGCCCTGGACAGGAGGTAAAGTAGCTACGTCCCCCCCAGACCGGCTCCCTTCCATTCCCAACAGCCCAAAGCCGAGACGCATCACGCAGCCAACCTGCGCCTCCCCACTAAGCTACTGGCCTCCTTCAAAAATGCTCCCAATAGTCATTGACGTGCTCAGTACGACGGGCACTCTCTGAATCCCGGATCTTCTTTGCTCCGAGGCCCGGAACCGTATGGTGCCAACCGGTTCTGCCTACAGCCGATGCCAATCTGGACGTTTTGGATGTGGACGCCGGGGGCTGTGTGTCGCCTTGTGCTGTGAGCGAAGGGGCTGGGTCCGACCAGAGCATCTCCGTATCGGCGTAGTGTAGCAGACTGAGTGAGTCTGATGGGGTGGATGGCTTTGTGTCTTCCGGAGGCTGGAAACTACATTACGAAGATCAGGGGGGCGCTGGGCGCTGAGCTTGATTCTCCGAAGTCTTTCACAACCAAGGGTTTCCTTTAGATGCCAAAGCCAGGGACTTGCTTCTCCCTGCGGCCCACCCTTCTGGTTGCCCTCATACCTCCCTTGCATTAGTGAAGTCCTCTTCGGATGAGGGGAGCTGGAGGGTGGTGTGTCAGGGACTGCCTCTTTTGCCAGCCGATTCACCCTTCGAGTTTGACATTCACTGTGGGGCAGCGCCCACACCAGAAGCAAGGAATACGCCTTTCATGCAGTACGTCCACCAGCCCTATCGGAACGTGGACGTAGAGGCTGCAGGGATGCTTGCAGGGGTTTTATTTCTGTGTGTGCTCGAAGAAATCTGTGGCTGTGAGGTGGACTATGTCGACGACGACGCTCGCGTCCAAGAGCGCCCGACACCCCCTCACTTCCGATGCTGCTGCATACATCTTTGGTGCACTGCTGTACTCCCCCAGAGTTTAACATCCTCCAAGCTCGAAGCAGTCCATGATCTCAGTTGCGGACAAGCCGATAAGGCTGGAACCGCTTCCTCCCAGCTCCTGAGCGAGTCGTGGGCAGCCGAGCTTCCACCGAACGGATTTATGGCAGTCTGGCCGTTCTCAAACGGATTTGTGGGATTTGGGCTTTGCAGCGCAGTCGTGCCACCAGTAAGCTTGGGCACTGCAAAAACATGCACCTCGCTGATCCTCGTCCTCGCTGTCTCGTTGCTTACAGGAGCAAGTGCAATGACCCCTGCCTGTGAGGCCATACAACGTCTTCTGCTTCGCGGAAGATGCGCGGCTCCCAGTGGCGCAGGTCCGCTTTACATAGTAGAATCCTTTGGAGCAAAATGTGACTCAGGACTGGAAATTGGAGACTCAAAACTCAGGCATGCCGATGGGTTCTGCCAAGCGAGACGCTGTTAGGTGTCCTGGAGATTGTGGCTGAAGCAGCATGCCGTTGTTGTCACTGTCCCTTCCTGTAGCTCCGATGTCAGAAAGCAGTGAAAGCAGTTGCATCGTGTGTGCAGTTGATAAATCTCCAAACTGGTTGCTGGCGAACGCTGCGACGCCCAACATGACTGTGGGACCGGATCTCAGCAGGAGCCTGCTGAAGCAGGGCATTGTGCTCGCTGCTGCGTCCGCGTGTGACATGAGAGCTGCGGGCTGCGAGAGTAATCGTCGATGTTGGTGGATCCCAGGAAATGGCAACGAGGTGTCATTCCAGGCTGTCGACGACTTCATGACTGCTGTGGGGCAGGCGAGCTAGCCGGTTCGTCAAGCCTTGGGGCTCCCACCATTCACCCATGGGCTACATCTGCTTTGGAATGCTCGAAACCTTTTCCTGGCGGCACGAGAACTGTACACTGGAGCTTGTCCCTTGAGATTCTGACGCTCGACCTGACGCCGCCCACCATCAATCCGGCCTGCGCCCTACTGGTCGCATCGACTCTTACGAGCTTACAGCAGCCTGCACTGCTCGAGCATCGCAGAAAGCCGACTTCCGAGTTGTAGGAGTTTTCACGAGGATGGGACCGCGGAAGCCGAAGCCGTTGAAGTCGCCGAAGCCGCCATAACCACGAACCATCCGAGATCAGCCTCGCGAGCGACGAGACGAACATCAACGTCACTGTGAGGCAACCGGCCAGAGAGTCAGGAACTGGACTTCCCTAGCTTGTCAGAATCATCATCAGCATCGTGTGCTTTGCGCATTTCCAGTGTGTTGAAATCCTGTTGTCTTATGTAGAAGGCGTGTAAGAAGGTCGCATGAAGGTCGTAGAGTGGCTGCAGTAGCAAGCTGGGGTTCTTACCACAACCGAAGCCGGGATACCGGCCAACACTGACAGAGGTCTCTTCAACAACGATAAGCGTCCCCTGGGTGCATGATTAGAGGCTTCGGTGCTTCGCCGCTCAGTTTGGCTCGCGAGCCTTGTAGCAGGCTTTACGTGGATTTAAGCAATTCCTGTGCCAAAGGGGTTTGCCGGTTTACCGTTGTCTTTGATGGAGGGTGCACGGGAATCAGTGCCAAAAGTGTTAAAGTGCGAAAATGACGATTTTCAGGCCGAAGCCAGGTGTATCGTTACATATTGTGTTGCTCATGGATCTTGAATACGATGATGATTCAATGATGATGATGATGATGATGATGATGACGGGGCAACCTCCACCCCCTGAGCAGGGATGTTGGGCCAATATCCACACCACGTGCGTGGATGTCGAGCCAGCATCCGCCTCTTAAGTGTGCGTGTCGGGCCAACATTCACGCTGCAAATAGTGTGGACACTCCACCTCGCACGCGTGGATGTTTGGCCATCATCCACCCCCGCTCTCTCTGGTTACTGGTTGCTTGTCGCTTGCATCCAGGGGTTTACGGATCCTTTCTCTTTTTTTTTGTCTCTCTCTCTCTCTCGCTCCCTCTCTCCCTCTCTCCCTCTCTCCCTCTCTCGCTCCCTCCCTGTCTCCCTGTCTCCCTGTCTCCCTGTCTCCCTGTCTGTCTGTCTCTCTGTCTCTGTCTCTCTTTCTTTCGTCTCGCTGTCTCTCTGTCTCTCTGTCTCTCTGTCTCTCTTTCTTTCTTTCTTTCTTTCTTTCTTTCTCCTCTCTCTCTCTCTCTTTTTCTCTGGCTCTCTCTCTCTCTCTCTCCAGCCTGATACATACCGTGTGTTCATGTCGTTGTTCCTGTCTGAGCTCCACTGTCGCAGTTTGAGCGAGACGGGCACCGCCCGGACCTCAGCCCGGCACTGCACCAGGAGGGCAGAGGATCCTGTGCGGGGTTCACGCTGGTCGCCTGGCATTTCTGGCCCCTCAGGTCTGGTGTCAGGCCGTGCGAAAGGACTTCAACCCGCCCACCATCCTGGAGATTCTGGACACAAACTACTATAGCCGCACAGCCGAGATCTGCTGCGGTTTCATCAGTTTCAGCCTTTGTTCCATACTCCACGGGGTCCGCTGACACACATCCGAGGTGATTTCACATCAGCGCTGGCCTGAGCCTGTCCAATCTACTGCAGTAAGAACGGTGCATCCCTCCTTTGCTCTAGCAGTAGGAGCAAGCCGAATGTGCTGCTTGGCACCCGTAGCCTGCTGCCTTTGCCTGGCTCTGCCTGCCCAGCCTGGCTCGTCCACCGTGCAAATCACCGGCTATGACAAACCTGTCAACTACGATCCGACCTTCGTCCGGTCCTCAGTGGCAGTCGTAGAGGCCTCTTCGGGTTTGCACTTTTCAGCAGCAAGAAGGAAAGGGCAACCGACGGGAGGAACCGTGGCCTCACCGACAATCCCCAAACATTCTCTGAAGAATCCCCGAACTCGAACTCGACATCCCCACAGCTGCCGGACTGTCGAGCTGTCGTCGAAGCACAGCACCAGATGACAGGAGCGGCCTCTTGTGTTGGGGACTGACTACGATGCACCGAGCTCAGCATGTTTCCTTGAGACATGGCCTGAGGAGGTTCCGAACTGAATACTCAGCTCACGCTTAGCTTTCGGCTCTGTTGCAGCCATATTGATGTCGTGGCGAAGTTTCATGATGACTCGCCCAGCTTCTCGGAGATCGCAGCATCTGCACACGTTTCTTGAAGCTTGGAGTTATGAAGTTCAAGGGCGCTGGGGAATGGGATCCCAGCAAGATCAACCGCTTGGAATCACAAACCACAGACTAAGCCGTGGGGGCAAGCACTTTGATCCTGGATCCCCTCTGTACATGGCTGCCTTGGCTGGCTGGCGACCGCCACTGGCCCCACCAGGTGTCAAATCACCAGGATCGGTTGCTGCATTGCTCCATTTCGGGCAGGGCAGGCCAGTACGTAGATGCTTGTGCATGTAGAGAAGCCGCAATAAACCGAAATCTCTGTCGGGCCGTGGCCGCTGAAGTTCAGCTTGGGTAGCCGCAAAAGGACCGACACCCTTTTGTGGCCGCCGCCCTCATGCTTGGAGGACCCGAGGCCTGCGGAAGAATAGGTGCAGGCGGTGCAGATGCAGAGTTTGGTCTCGCTGCAAGCCAGCTGTTGAACCCCTGAGGTGCTTCAGCCGTCCTCTGTTGTGCGATGAGTCATCGCATTGCAGGCCAGGCTCCAAAGCTACTTTCGATTCCAGGGCTCGGCGCAGGGCATCGCGCCCATGAGTGTAGAACCAGGTTTCTACTGGGTGTGACGACGGAGCTCCCCGGTTCTGCAGCCGAATCTTACTTGTGTTTCGTTTGAGTCTAAATAGGTATAGTACACAGCGCTGTTGCTCCTCACAGTTGCAGCAGGCAACAACTGACATCTGGCAAACATTCGAGCGAATGGAGAAAGTTCCTCAGACCTCCTGGAATCACTGGCACTTCAATGATTCAAGCAGCATCCTAGATTTCCCCCTGTCTCAGCTCTGCTTCGGCGCGTGGCCGACTGCGGCGATGGTGCCACTGCCATGAAGAAGACGAGGCTGTGACTTCTGGAGCTTGCGGTAGCCACAGTGTGACCACGCCAGCAGCCGCCAGTGTTGCCACGCTGGTCAGGCCTTTGCGCGTGGCCGGCGAGGCTTTGGGTGCCGTGCTGCCAGCAGCGGCCGCCGAGCTCAGCCGCTTCCCTGAGGCCGCAGCTGGCCGGGCCAGGGCGGGGCAGGGCAAAGAGTGACGGAAGGAGAGAGAGAGAGAGAGATACAGCAACTCCCCACCACAGCCCTGGGGAAAGAAAGAGAGATACAGCGAGAGAGAGAGAGAGAGAGAAGGATCTTGGACAGAAGTCTTACCCACGACAAGTACCAGGGCGCGTGCGCGCGCGCGCGCGCGGGGGGTACGGGTTACCGTGCTCCTTTGGCTGTGTGGAAGAAGAAGGATCTTGGACAGCGATAGACGGACAGGTCTTCAGTGTCACGGAAGATGCCGTGGATGTCGTGGCAGGCCCGCGCTGCTCACGTTACGTGTTTTGGAGCACGTGGCTTCTGGTGCGCGTGAAGGTGACTCCGTGCCGTCGCGTTCCAAGGTGGGGCAGCTTCTTGAGTTCTCCAGCGCTCGACTGGGATCACTCAGTTCGCGTTGCGCGGCAGTGTGCCTGTTGTTTGCTCGTGTTGCCCGTATTGCTATCAGTATCAGTTGTATAAGTACAGGTATCATATCGAGCCACAGTTATCATTGCTACTCTCGCTCTACGCCCTGAACTTTAAGACCTCAACCTTAAGCTCGGAGTCCCGGAGTGCCTCGCTCCGTGAAGCGTGAAAGCGGCGAGGCGGTGGCCCAAGTGCTGCAGCGGCTCCGTGAGGAGGACTCCACAGGGCCGACTTTCAGGGGTTTCCCTGACGGCCTCGAAGTGTTTTCGGGGATTAGGGTTTAGGTTTTGCAGGTTGTTCTAAGCATGGTTTCGGGCTAGACTGTGTGCCACCCCATCGCAAGAACTAGCAACACCGTTGGGGAGCTGTTGGAAACCACTTCTTCGTGCCTGTGGCACGAAGCCGGTGAAAAGTGAACACAAAGCAGACGCAAGAAATCCCGATGGGGGACTGGAAAAGTGGGCCAACCTGGGCATGGCGCCTTTGGATGGGCAGCGGGGAGTCACGGCAATAGACAGTGGTCTTGGTGGGTAGCTCAGCTTTTTTCTGCTTTTGGTTTGTTCCTCTGCCTACGGAGGTTGTTCCTTGCTTCTTCTAGTCAAACGTCGTTCTCCGTGAGCCCTATCCTGGGTTCCGCTGTGTGATCTGCGGCTGGACCACGAGGATCTTGCTGGGGATGTTTCTGACTTTCACCTTGTTCCCCTTGCTGAGAAAGAAAGGGGCTTCCTGGGTCCTGCGCCTGGAGCTCAGCTTGAAATTTCTGCAAGCAGCGGCCCCTGCGGACACGCTGGGCGATTCAGCTCAGCAGCAGGTGCTCTTGGAACATGATTAGTGGTGCTCTGTGGGAGCAACGATGGGTTTTCACAATTGGGTTTGGCAGAATTTAGGAAGGGATGGTCCTTGTAGTCAGAGAAAGTTTCTGTGCGACTGTTGAACGCTAGATGCGACTTGACCAGACGCTGGAAACGGCATGAGCGAACCTTTCGTGATCCCCGAACACTGTTCTGCCAGGACACGGTTCCCATGTTGCGAGGCTGGAGGGACGAAGACGCGTCGCTGATCATATCCTGTGAAGCCTTTCCACCGTTCTTCAAGCATCTCTCCACAAACGAATCTCGCTGAGGAATGGCCAGTGAAGGCCTCTTTCCATGCGGCCCCAGCGTTGGTGGTGGAGCCGGGGCTGAAAGCTTCAGAGAGCTCCTTGCGGATCCTGCTACAAAAACTACATGCCAACTTTAGTGGACAACCACGCCTCCCTAAGAGGAGAGAGCCGCTGGGCCTCTTCTGGGTGTGCGAGGCTTCGGGTGTGGCTCCCAGCCGAAGCTGATTCGTCGGCTACTTTTGTCAGACTCATCTCATGCTCTTGCGATGCACCTCTGGCGATTTCAGGTGCCATGTCAATGGCATTGTGGAATCATCAACGGGCCCATTGCTTTGGGCCACGTGGCCTGACAGCTGTTTCATCTTCCATTAGGATCACTGTGAGGTGATGTTGCATATGGTGATGCTAGGCTATTGCAAGCCATTCATCCCATTAGCTTTCCAAGAAGGCCACATGCAAGGGTATCCGCTGCGAGGTTGCCACACGGTCACGGACGAAGCCGACATATCCGGGCCGTCTGGACCATGTCGTAGCAGGACACTTTGCCGGGATGAATGCCTCCGCTTCGCGAAGGACTTCAGAGGGACTCTGTTCGGGGATGCCCCTGAGAGGAGGATTGTCGCACGGCGAGCTGCCTGGTGACAACGTGAGAAGCACTCAGTTGGCTCCTTGTGTCCACACGCCCGGCCTTTGGACGGAGATTTGACCCAAGGATCCGGGAGTGCTTCGAGGAGGCGCGCGTGCCAAAGGAGCTCGCGCAAACCGCACAGCCGCCACTTTGCCTGGTTTGGCGCCGCCTGGTGAAGCGGCTCCCAAGTCTTCGTGAAGCCCTCAACGATCAGTTTCTCAGGACCGGCGTCGTCTCTTATTGTCAAGTTGATGAGACAGGACCGGAGCCACGGATTTGCATGTGAGCTGACTGGAGGAGGTAGTGGTGTCTCATGTCTCTGGCGGCTTTTCACAGTCACATCACCGATGTCAGTCCAAGCACGCTAGCTTCCTGCCTTCATTGTATGACCGCAGCTTGTTGAGGATGGGGCGTCAAAAAAGATGTGATCTTCTGCTACGATCTGCCACCTGTCAGCCAGTCGTGGGTCGTCGGTCGGACAGGTTTAAACCGAAGGACAGGCCGGTTCAGAGTGTAGCCGCATGTAGCTGCAAGCTCTGGATAGCGCCGTGTGGGTGCAATCCGAACCGTCAACTCGGCCGTGTTGGAAATCCGAGGACCCTCCCTGAGGACTTCCAGCCCATAGCCGGTGATGGGGAGGTAGAAGGCTTCGAGCTGATGGGCACCTTGGCGCTATTAGCCCCTGGCCTTTCCTGGTTTTAGCCGTGCTGGCCCTTTGACACTTGCAGCTCTCGTCCGGCTTTGCACCAGTCGACTCGTCACCAGCACTTTTCCTGCACGCTGGGCTGGGCCTTGTGGAACGGGTTGAGGGCCTTGCTTCAGGGATCCGTCGTTGTGGAGTCTGATCCGGCCTGCAACTGGGAACCGAGGCATGGATGCAGTCATTGACTCGCTCGTGTCATCGTCAGAGCCGGACTGGAAGCCGAACGTCGCTGACAAGCAACTACAATCAGGTTCTTTGGGGTCTAGTCTTGCTCGGTTGGCTTGGCATTGCATGTGGGGTCGTTCTGCTGCCGAGGTCGCTGTTGTTATCATTGACATGCTTGTTCGAGCCTCTGAATCTCAGATTCTGCCACCAGAGTCCATGCCTGGAAAGCTCCTACCTGCCCGCTGCTGCAATGTCAAGGTGCGCCGTGGATTCGTTCGACCCGAAGAGGAGGGCTATGTGGAGCTCGTGCATGCGCTGCGGCAGTGAGAGCCCAATAGGACAGCCCACTCCGGTATGCGTTCCAGCATCGCGACGGAGAAAACAACATTCAGAGAGCAGCCCTTACTGCATTGAAGCCTTTGTTGTGTGCGCCAGAACTGCCGCACTCCGACAGTTTCATTCCTCCAAAAACTGTCAACTGCGTTACTGTCCGTTTTGCCATGGCCCATCGTAAAACGGAGCCATAGGAAGCCGAAGCAGCAGTGGGAGCCCCAATGGTTTCTGCGAGGTCTACTGCTATGCCTCAGATGATCTGTGCCTGGGATGCCGAGTCGTTGCCTGAGAGCCGGAGCAACAGAGATGGGTCCGGGATGCCGGAGGGAGCTGTTAAAAGGAGGCTTTGATGGCTTTTGGTAGATTGTAGATCCTGACGTCGACCCAGGTCACGAATGGTGTCTCCTTCAGCACAGCAGGGAGCCCAGATTCAAGGCTTCACTTCAAGCGCGAGGCGACAGAAGGGCTCCTCCAGTCAGCTCGTCGTCTTGGCAGGTAGTCGCCACGAAGGACTCCATCCGTACCAAGGACTACACCAATCCGAACATGAGGCGAGCAACTATCTTAGCTTGTTGTTATGCACGAGCATGCACAGCCAGAGCGCCCCAAACAGAGATGCAGCCAAAAAGCCCAGGAGGTCGCTGCTTGTGCCAGGTACGTCGCAGCGGAGTCCATCGCAAGCGACCGGATCCTCATCACTTTGCAGGTGGATGAAGGCAAGCCGAAGTGATGCATGCTGCCATGTGGCGGGCCTCATCATTACGGACGGGATGTCCTGAGTTTTTGTATGTGTGCGCCGACAGACAGTTATCAAGCGAGTATTTACTTGCCGCGAGTTCATGCGCTCGAACTTCCAAGCAGTGATTCGCAGGTGCGATGGTTTGGTGCGCCGCCTGGAGTGTGCAGCCTCAGAACCGGCTGTGGGTCAAGAAAGCGGAGGCAAAAGAGGCCTAGGTATCTTGCGTTTCCGCATAAAGTTTTCGTTTTAAGGAGTTCCGGGTTTCCTAGAACTGGCAGCAGGGCTCTTGTGATTTCTTGTGGATGGGAGTGACCTTTTGCCGTTTTGGGGAGACGAGGCACCGATCCGGCTTTCACCGACTCCTTGGATGCGGAGACGAGGATCAAGAACGAAGATGCCAACTGCCAGGATGGACGGGGTGTGGACCTCGAAACCCAGACGAAGGGAAGTTCGAAGCTTCGGACGAAACGCAAGAAGCTGCTGTGTGCGGCGTGTGGCCTGAGGCAATCAGTGCGGCACGTGCGAAGCTGAGCCTGCGGCCGCGAGCCAGCTTCCAGGATTCCGTGGTTTGCATTAGGTTTTCAGGTGCTCTGCACCACCCAGCTCCTTGTGGCCATCCTTGTGCTGAGACCGCTGCAAGAGCCTTTGCAAAGGTTCTGGATCTACGACCTGGATGACATTGAGGATGCGGATGCGGATGGCGCCAAGCTTAGATTCCGCGGAGTTCTGGGCCAGGCAGACACAGGCCCGATCCTCCGATACGATTCTTGGTGTGCCAGGAAGGTGCTTTGCCTGCTGCCCCGTGCCGAGGTGTTAATTCCCGAGCGGACTACGATGACATCTACAAGTGGAAGTTCAATCAGGCTTTGCTTTTTGCCTCGAGTATTCTCCACGAAGAAACTTTTGTCGTCAAATTGTTTTCAGGATGTGGACATCATTGTTTCTGGCCTCCAGGCTCACCTATACATCTATTGCCTGGGGAGTGGTACATAGTATGGTGTGCCTGCTAGGAGGAGACGGATTATCCCTTCATCTACTGCTTTGCAGAAGATGACGAGGTGTGGCCTTCTGTGATTTCTACTCTGAAGCGAGACGATCGCATGCTGGAACGTGGCCTCTCAACCTACAGATCGAGGTGCCTCCGAACGGGCCGAACAAAATGATCTTCGACGGCTCCGGTAGCGGCATCGCACTTGACCTGTCTGATCTGCGTTGCACGCAGTTTGGCGGAAGTTGCAGCGGTTGGTTGCCGTGGTGCCGCTCTTCTGCCCTTTTCAGGGCACGCTGTTGGAGCGAATCAAAGTCAAGCAAGCACTCTCATGCCACGAAGGTCCCGACAACATGCATTCCATGCAGCAGGCAATCGGCACCGTCGTGTCCCCAGCTGCTTTTCTGTTGCGTGGGGAGCAAAGCAAAACTGCCTCCCATGGATCATTTCACTTCCGGGATCTTCTGGGTGTCGGGGCATCTCTAGCGGGCCCAGAGTTTCGATAGTCTACTGGAGGGGCGAAGGCTCAGGATGTCTGTTCGGTCCTCGTGGGCCCTGGCTATCACTGCAGCGGCTTCTTGCGTCCTTGGCCACTTTACATCCAGAGATGGTGTTGGCCAATCTGATTCCGAAGCAGGAGCGTCGTTGTTGAGACTCTGGCCCAGGTGCAAACCTTGGACGAGTCCCCGCCAATCTTCACGAGGCTGACATGCCCTGCTCATGAGGTGCAAAGCAGAAGAGTCCTGGATCAGGCTGCAGATTCCAGACCCAACAGCCGTCAACAATCAGATCGTGGTCACGTTCAAGCTCAACGAGGCCCTGCTCTGGCGGAGCTTTGCAGCCACCAACCACAACGCCAAGTCTTTGATCATGGAAAGGCGGGCACTGCGTACTGCCGGGCCAAGAGGACCGCCTGAGAGCCTCACATCGCCATGCCCGCCCTTGTCAACCACCCTAAACCCTAAACCCTAAACCCTAAACCCTAAACCCTAAACCCTAAACCCTAAACCCTAAACCCTAAAGTGAAGTTCTCAGGCTTCTGTGCTTCCGTGAGGAGCGACTCGGCGGAGCCAACCTTGCACATCAATCAGATCCTTTCCGCAGACTTCTCCCAGGTGGGACCCGGAGAAGTCAGCGCATTGTTGGGTTTAGGGTTTAGGGTTTAGGGTTTAGGGGTTTAGGGTTTAGGGTGAGCCTTGCTGGCTGCTACTGCCGCTCCGCATGTTGACAGGAGATCCTCGATCCCGTTAATGATGTGGGGACGATCACGATCACAAGTCTGGAGGCACGCGATCCCTCCAGGCCAGAAGGGGCTGCTACGTAAAGCTTCAGGCCCTAAAGTGGACCCGGCAACTGTCATGCTGACCTGCACCTGTGCGCAGTGTGCTGTACGAAGCCTCCCAGTACGACGTGTACTGCTGGGCTAAAGACAGTGCTGTAAGTGCCTCAGCATGCCTCAGCAGAGTTCGTCTCCCAAGCATTTCGCAGAAGCTTTAACGTGGGAGTGTGCAGTGGAAGACATCTCACAGTCAGAAGCTGCCTCCGCCGAAGAGCATGCAAGGTGGTATTTGCATGGCTAAGGTGGACACGCACGGCTTCGCGCGGCCCAACTACATGGCCCAGAGCACCGTGGAGACGCCCGTGGGAGCCGCCCGAGACTCGGCCCTCGCGCTTGCTTTCAAGCATGTTCTAACGTGAGTCGTAGCTTCGTAACCCTTCCCTGCGATGATGTAGACAAGAAGCCTCGAGGCTTTGTCAGTAGAATAGAGCAGTCAGCAAGCCAAGTAACTACTACAGAGAGGTACACTGGGATTTTCTGATGAGGTTACTGCAAGTTGAGGGGCCAATGATTGAACATCGACCATGCCAAGGCATACGCCTTGAGTAGTACATGGCGTGCCTTCTGATGATGCAATGACATGGTCAAGATGGTGGTGGTGGTGGTGGTGGTGACATTGACGATGCTATGAGACCCTTGTTGGCAGGGCTCGGTCCTGCAGGACTTGATGAGTCCCAGATTGCAGTGTGTCGACCACTGCAGACGGAAGCATGTGATTTGTTGAACGCCGGTCCTGCAAGGATGTCAACAACCCGTCTGGAGGCAAGACAATTTGGGTCTCTGGGACTCTTAAGCCTTTCAGGAGATGTTTCGAAATTCAGAGCTTGAAGTCGTGGGCTTGTCATCAATGTAGCGTGCTGAACAATCGTGTCATTCCAGCAATCATCTGAAAGCTGCGAGAGTACCCTGTTGAAAGCAGACCTGTTTGGAAGTGGTTCTTGGGCCAGGGCTCACGGAGAATGTCTGGATCACAGATACTACGCCGCCGACCATCATCGTGGTATCTCGCGAGGACGGGAGTGTTTGGACAGCATGCCAGGGTCTGTCTTCATCTCTCCTGCTCTTTCTCCCCTCGGTCTGTCTCTCTGCCAGTGTCCCTGTGAGTCTGTTTCTGTGAGTCAGTCTCTGTTTTGTCTCCTTCTCTATACTATATCAGCTAGAGGGCTAGCAAGCTGCTAACTGGCTAAGTGTGCATACTAGGATTCTATTTATCCATCTCCGTCTGCGTCAGATGCCAGGCATTGGGCGAGTCACACATCCAGGTTACCTTGCAGCTCAACGAGCCGTGCGCTGAAATGGGCTGGTGATCCTGCAGTCGTTCAAAAATTGAGCGGCATTTTGCCGGCAGACTCCTGTATGTTTCCTGAGCCAGAGCAGCAGTCAGCTGAACCGCTTGCTTGAGTCGGTGGCATGCAGCTGGAATACTAAATGAGCTGCGGGCTTTGAACCACCTGCCGAGGCCTGGCACTGTGTGGTGCCAAGTGGCAGATCAGGCCTGGGAGACGGGCAGAGACCACGGCACATGATGGCGCCACTTGAGAGCGGAAGGACGGCTCCCCGACCGGCACGAGATATTGCCAGAACAGCGCGATCGACTTCCTGCCTGGTACCCAGATTTAGGGCATGGGCCGATGCGGGAAACTGATTGGCAGGTCGTTCTGCGCTTGTCGTCGGAAAATCGTAGCAGTCGTAGCATTGCTAAAAAGTCCGCCGAGGACGACCTCGGACCCATGCTACTACGAAACATGGATTCAAGGCGGAAGAGTGCCATGAGTGCCATGAACACATACAAGTTGAGCTTTCGTGACCCAGAGTTGAACACGAGGTGTCAATCGTGGGGGTGCCGACTCTACCGTTTTCATGGAGGAGGTGCATGTTCCGTACCAGGCCCGGCAGCAGCCAAGGAGACCTTTAGTTTTGCTGCTCGTGCCTGCACGGCTTGGTCCAGGACTTCGACATTGACATGACCCGCATTGAGAAGGTCACAGCCACTGTCGTGCTGGCCCCGGTCAGTTTTATTGTCAAAGGTTTGTCGCAAGATGTCCATAACAGGACTGCAGGTGTAGACTGTGTAGACCTTTCCCACAGGGCGGGGCTCCCCATTCAGCCGTGCCGTTTCCACAACTTGTAGCAAGAATCGACGTTTGCTTGACGCACCTCCACAACAAGTATGTGTTTTTCCAAGGCTGGAGAGGCCATGGTGGGCAAGTGCGCCTAGCTCTGCCGATGTTGTGTACTTCAGCAGCCTTTGCAGAATCGCAAGCGCCAAGACGTGCCGAGTGCCAGCACAAGTCACTGGATCTCAAAATCTCTGCCTCCTTGTGCCAGTTACTTCTACTACGTCTGGTGTTTCGCCCAAGATGACTGGGTGAACCAGGCCTCGCTCAGAAGCCTCATGTGTCTGAGCCGAGCCGTGCCTGAGTCTGCAGTCTGGACGCAACTCCAGGATTAAAGGTCGATGGTCGAAGCGAAGGGAAGCGGTGTTTTTGAGCCCTCGGCAGGCTCCGACGCCCTCACCTTCGCCATCCTTCGTAGCGCCTGTGAATCCCAACAAGGCCAGTGGATTCACAAGTCCAAGCGTAGTGCGACCGTCGCACCTCTCAGATCCTCAGGTCCAGCAGCCCCACATGACTGCGGTGAACTTGGCCATCGGGCAGGTGCGGCCTTGCAGCGCCGCGCCAAAGCCAAGGCATCGGAGCACCGAGCTCACAGTGAGCTGTGCAGGTGACAACACTCGACCAGACACCACCTACATTCACAGGAACTCCAGTGAGCCCTCGTCCCGGCGCTGGCGTGTCCTTTGGCTCTTCGAACTTCAAGCGCAGCCTTGCCTTAAGGCGCAGCGCTGTCCGAAACGTCATTGCAGATCACGCTCGGCTTGGACGAAGCAGGCTGTGATGCAGTAAAGTCGTGCAAGGGGGAGTGATGCCAGTTTTGAGCCAGGCACCATCTGGTGCATGCCTGTACGCTCGACCTTTGCCGAGCCAAGCATAAACGAGATCCTTCAGGCCAGTGCCGGCATTGTAATCCTGAATCTGGCACTTGTCAACACCTCTCCAGCGTGGCTGCCTGATGGATGAAGTCGCAGCATGCAGCAAGCTGGTTCTAGCTGCCAAGCAGCGGTGCCAGAACAACGAATACGACGTCGACTGCTTCACCAGCGCTTGCACGGCCTGAAGCCTCAGTGCGACATCGAACGGAGCGATCTAACGGCAGGCAAAAGTCTGTCAACAGCAATGGCAACATCAGTACCAACACCATCAGTAAGAAGAACACCGCAAGCAACCTTGACACAACCTCGACCACTAAAGAAAAGTATGAGTCTGAGTGACAAGCATTACAACAGCAGCAACAAGCTGCATTGATAGGTATCATCCTCAAACATCTGAGTCATTCAACTGTTCCAGTATCTTTGCTCGGAAACCTGTGGTACCGAGCTCAGCGCACTCGATCAGACCTGTCGCAAGCTTGGATTTTCCCCACTGCAGCGCCACCATCACCACCTCCATGACCGCAACAACCACAGCTGCCTCACGACCACAACTACTGCTGCAACGCATCAACCACGGTCAGGCCATTGCCGGTACAGTCACCGCAGCTCACCACCACGACTGCTGTTGATGCTGCTGTTGCAGTTGCTCCTGCCATCGCAACTGCACCTGCGACTATGATGGCGACGCCTTTGGCTGTGTGGAAGAAACGAGAGATTGACAGAAAGAGAAAGAGCGATCGGTCGCCGGCATTATCATTACTGCTGACTTGATGACGGTTGTCATAGGTGTGTCCTCCACTACCGAAGCATCATCAACATCATCAGACTTACTGACATCATCGACATCATCATGAATGTCATCGTCTTCGTCATCATCATCGTCTTCGTCATCATCATCATCATCATCATCACCATCATCAGCAGCATTATCATCTTCATCTTCGTTCTCATCATCGACATTATCACCATCACCATCCTCACCATCACCGTCACTATCAGTATCATCACCTTCATCACCATCATCACAATCATCACCGTCATCATCATCACCATCATCACCATCACCATCATCACCATCATCACCATCATCATCAACGCCATCACCTGCAGCTACTAACCAAGACCAGCAGCTAGAGGCAAGCCATCACCATGACTGGACTTAGCAGCATCCAGCTGGGGTGTTCGTAGAACTTGAACTGTGCCATGCGAGATTTAGGCCAGGACGGGGCTGCCTTGAGTTCGACATTTTGGAAAGTGAGGTCACCATGGCGAATCTCGACGCCAAGACCCTGCTCGCGGCTCAGGTTTACGAGTCACACAAGCTGTTCTTTGCAGTAGATCCGAGTCTGAAGCAGTGGATGCACAGTCCGGGCATGAAGGTCTTTTCAAGACGGCTATCCGACTGCTCAATGAGGAATCATTTTGAGCAGACGTTGTGCATGGCTTGTGCGGAGGTACGACATTTGGTGCTACGCCGAGGATGACAATGTATACCCGCAAATTCCCAACGGCCAGAAGTTCGTCGCTGGTGACGTGCGGCCGCATGTTTTCCGTGTGGAAAGGTTGGCATGAAACTGACATTCTGAATTACGCGGAGCTACAATACCCCATATGTTTGTTTTAGCAGTAATTAGGGCGACGCCTCCTGCACCACTTGTAGTTGGGCAGGTTCATTACAGCTTTGGGCCTGCCACTTCTGATCCCATATGTCTTTTCGCCAGGTGGTCACGCTCAGCACTCAGGACACAACACCGCCTCGTCCTCAGCAGACCTACAATCGTCTCCGATTGTGCTTTCTCTGGTTCGCTGCTCCTCAAACAGGCCGGTTCTGACCATCGTCTCGGCCGAGTCGCCTATCAGTTCGGATATCCGGATCAAGGCGCCGTGACTCGGGCAGGCAGTGTTCGAGATAACCAATGATTGGAAGCTTCGCTTGCCCCCGGGCAGCAGAGTATGATAGCTGAAGCTAGCCTAAATTGAGCTGGTGCACGGGACATAACATGGAACCCGCTTCGGCTAGGCTAGGCAGCTCTCAAACAGCCTTTATGTCCTTTGCTTCCGTGGGCAGCCTCCAGTCTTTGTATTCAGACAAGTTGTGTCCAGTTGTGTAAGGTTTGTAGACGATCTTCCATTGGATTGAAGTGACTTTTGCCGAGAGAGGCCGCTACTTCATTCCGAAGCTCCCTCTCTCATGCCATGATATGCCATGGGTATCACCATAGCTTTTTTGATGGTGAGGTCAAGATGGACGAGCCAGGAACAGTGCGTGCCCCGGTGCTGCCAATTTCCATGGTGCTGTCATCCCAAAGGCTGTCCTTGACCCCAGCAGCGCCCAGGTGTACTGCAACTCCTTCCAATCGTCAACAGCCTATGGCACACCAACCTTTGCATCTGCCAGGGGCCTCAGGCATGTGGTATCTGGGACGGGAGCGAAGAGCTGGTGGAAAATGATGAGGTTGCTGGTGGCGGATTTCAGTCGTACGTTGGCTTCCCACTGCTGTCGCCAAGCCCTTAGCACATTTCGGCGTAGGCTCCGGAGCTCGGATCCTTTTCGCCCTCTGCGTGCAGGCCGAACAGTCCAGTGAACACCAACGTGGAGGTTGTTGTCTCTGGCCTGAATGAGCTGACACTTTACGACACGTGCGCCGTCCGAGCTTTCCCACAGTTTCGACCCCAGTTTGGCTGATGCCATTGACATTCACGGACTATTTTGGGTGATAGGAAGGATGACTATGGAGTCGAGTATTCCGAACATTGGAAGCTCGAGGGATGCTGAGGGCTGCCTTTGCACTGTCCGACCTACCTCCTGTGCGCAGTGGAGTCTCTCTCTCTCTCTGCAATTCGCAGCTTGGGCGAGGTACTGTGCAGCGGTTGATGCTTCCACCCTTCCGACGGTAAACGAGATGACCCAGGCCACATCGTCTTGCTAGATTGTCCGAGCAACTGTGCCACTGTGTTGGTCCAAGTGGCTCGATCCCGCAGATGAGATACCAGTCGAACAGGATGGCTGTTTGGCAAGACGATGACCAAGTGGTCATTTGCGCAGGCTTCGATTCTGAACACCTTCCCAGCCATAGGTGTGGGCCTTGGGGCTGGTGCTGCTGATGCGTTGATTGTTCGCATGGTGATGTCAGAGCAAAGTCCTGGAAACTCAGCTACGCGAATCTGGCAGCTTGTTTACCTGCTGCATCTAATAGGCTGGTAGTTGAGTCAACTGAAGGCCAGCTCACGACCCTGGATCAATCGCCTCCTGTCTTCACCGAGCTCGGTGCGAAGGGCACCACGGTGGACCCGGCAAAGAGTAATGCGGGTCTCGTGCCTCAAGTTTCGGCAAGTGGTCAACTGCACATAGCCGCCAGGAGAACAACATCCAGGTTACATTCAAGTGCAACGAGGACCGTCAAGCTGTCCAAGTCTGATGCATCCCCGGAGCCTAGTGCTGCAAGTGGAGGGAATCGCAGGAGCGAGCTCAGTAGCATCACGTAGCCTCACCCGTCGCCACCTTGCCTTTGGCAGGCCTGCAAGGCTTACTGCCGTGTCACTCGAAGTGACTCCGGCGAGACGAGCCTCAGCGTCAACCGCATCCTCAAGGCGCGCTTACGCTTGGCCGGGTGAGCTCCAGCGCTGTCTACTCTCTGGGGAGTCAACCTGCGAGACCTGCCCGGGAAACGACATGTTGATCCCAGCATCGGCAACCCTGTAGAAGTTATGCCTGAATCTCAAGTCCCAAAATATTTCGGCAGGCTGAAGCGCATCCCGACTCACCAAAACCCGTGTTCAGGCAGACTACTATTCGGACCAGACAGGAGGGGCAGGATTGTCTGCCACGATCGACCTGGCGCGGTTGGAGGCACCGCTCTGGTCTGGGCTTTTGACCTTTGCTATTTTGCAAAGGTTTCTTCAGCCCGCTTGCTGTGCCGCGTGTAGCTTGGGCTTTTGCAGCGCCTGCTTTGGCACAACGGTCTCACCCAGAACAGACTGCCCTGGCAGAACGATGTCAGCTTGGACCTGCTTGACCGGGGCACTCTGTACGACGTCTACTGCGCCTTGGCAACGCCTTCTGACATGACACGACGTATGCTGCCAGAGGGTGTGTTGAGAAGGGATCCGTGCCTCTTCCCATTGAATCCTGATCTCTTCATGACTGCGCATCGTGGAGGTTGGAGCCGCGACGAAGCTGTGCAGTACTCCTGCTATGCGCAGGCCCCTCTCTGAAGTCTCTCCCTCTGCCTAGAAGCATCTAGAAGCTGTGTGCAGTTCGAGCTTGAAGGAGCCGTAAGAACATGCCTGGAGGCGCCGAGTGCCTCCTGTACGACCTACCCCAGGAACAACTACCAGGACCTTTGACGGCCGGCCTTCGGCTTTCAGAAGCAAAGGGCTTTTGCCTTTCGCATCTTGCTCTCCGTTGTACACGGGTTTCAATATCTTTGAGACGAGGACCAAACCTATGTCGACACCGCCTTCGGCGGGACGCCGCCAGCGACGGTCACCAACGGAGCCGGCCTGCCAGGAGGGCAGCAACCTTGGAGCTTCTGGACTCTGCATGTTGTCACTTTCACTGGGAAGTCTAGGGTGCCTAATTCAGCGGAGGGCTTCGTAACAGCTCGCGGGGCAGGGGAAGGGTCAGTGGCGAGGCGGTTTCCTGCTCTTGCTGTCGGGCGTGTATAAACAAGCATGACACGCATGGACGACCATTGGCTCAGGCTAGAGGAGTGTGAGTGACATTCCTGAGCGGACATGTCCGTGTTCTGAGAGCATTCAACTTATGTCCAAACCTCTCTTGTCTCACGCGACGGCGAGAACATCAGAATTCCAGTCCGAGTCCTGAGAAAGTGTTCGCGATTCACCGAGGAAGATCCTGCATGCGGGTCCCTCAGACGTGCAGGACAACAGTCAAACACGGCCGTCTCCCACAGAGACGATGCGCAGATGCGTAAACCGTTTGTTCTTGTGACCCGCAGAGGGAGCAACAGCCAAAAACTGTGAGGTCAGAACTCCAGACACAACGCCGCCCACCATCACTTTCGTGGAAGCGGTGCGCCTGGCAAATTGAAGCCTCCCGGAGAGAGATCGACCACCTTGCCGTTTTTGTAGCATTCGGCAGCAGTCATTAAGGTACATGTAAATTTGCCGTATCTTGCCAGGAGTCGACGGAAGAGTCCTCCATCACCGTTACGCTTCAGCTGGATGAGCCAGGGACAGCGTCCGCCACCGGGAGAGTATCGTGAGGATTGTGCTAAGGGGCTCAAGGGCTTGAATTGTGAGAGTTTTCACACCAGAGTGGCATGCTTGAGTATGGAGAAGGGCACCTGCCTGAGCGTGCCAAGACTCAGCCTAGCAGGGCCGATGACGCGAGAAAAGCTGCAGGTATTGCAAGGCCTACACCACCACGCAGACGGTGGATGCCGCACTTTACACCGCACTTATCACTGCAGCGCCAGCCTCAGAGAGGCTAGCTGAGGAGGGTTCAGGCTGAGGGTGCCCAGGGGCCCTGGACGTGGTTTAGTGCCAGCATTCTACTCGTACTGTTGTGTATTCTGAAGCACTTCTGCGCCAGCCCGTCTACAAGAACACCGTCACAAACTGGAGACTTGGACTGCAACAGTGCCCGTGCCGATTGGCAGTGAGCTTTCAGAGGCACATTCTCTGCGAGTTCGAGATTAAATATTGCTGTAATGTTGTCAGGAACAACATTTACAAGAACTTCGACATCAAGGTCTCTGGCCTCACCATGGAAACCAAGTGGCCTCGCTTGTTTATGCGTAACTGCATGTTTTCACGGAGTGTACAGAGCACTTGTCGGATACTGTTCTTTCTTGTAGGTACTTCGTCTACTGCGCGGCAGAAGACGACGAGCTCGTGGAGGGTGCCACCACCATCGACCCAGCCCCTGTTTCGCTTTGGCCTCATTGTCTGAAGCCTCGAGAATTCAGATTGTGCGGCTACGTACGCACTCAGCGATGTGAGCCCGCCCGAGGAACAACGAAGCCTTGCCGGTGCTCGTTGAAGCGACAGGCCATGGCTTTCAATTTTTGAGCGAGTCTTAACGACTCCTATGACCACTCTGTAATTTCAGGAATGCGGATAGATGACAGGTAAGATGCATCAGGTGGCTGGAGCACACAGACAAGGCTTTGCAAGCCAACGGGTAGCTGGTATGGGGCCATCTCATTCTGCGATGGTCACGTTTGCGGAGCGATGCCATAGCTTTGCGGAATGTACCATGGTTGCAGACTTACAAATGCTGCATGCAACTTCTTCATTCGAAGTCTCATCCTTCTTCTCAGAGACTTGGCCTGAGCGAGGCCTTGCGGAATTTCTTGCTCTCGCGCTCGCAGTGGCTTGCAGGCCGCTTCACGTTGGATTTGACCCCACCGATCATCACCGTCGTCTCAATCGCCTCCAACAGCGAAACGACGTCTGGCGCTCGGGGTCTCACCAGATTCAAACTGAAGCCAACTTTCGGCCTTCTGCAACTTGTGCTGGCAGGGCGACGGTGACATTGCAACTGGACGAGCGGAGCCGCCTTGTTGAACTCGAGACTTGCCGGGGAGTATTCACTGAAATGCCATGGCTGCGCGACCCAAGCCAGGCCTGGAACAGCTTGGTGTACAGCTGTCCGGGACCAGTTCACACCACCGAGCATCAACCAGGTCGGGCCTCCGTTGAGGTTGGTAGTATTTGGTAGTGGCAAAGGGTGCGTTCAAGCGCTTCACAGAACGCGCCACAGTGCTTTGCTGCCAGACTGGCCCAGTCAAGAATCCATGCAAGCATCAGCTTTATCAGCTTTTGCCCACCGTTGCTAGCACGCAAGCCCCAGTACTTCCGACTGCCCCATCGGATGCTACTTGTAGAGGCAGATGTTTATTCAGCAGTGATCTGAATCATAAAGACAGTAGAAGCGGAACCATCTGCTTTGCAGATCATCGCGGCAAGCTTCTCTTCGACAGTCCTCACGGCAGCGACGGTACGCCTTCCCTGCTTTCTTTCTCGTTCAGGGTCCTTGTCTGTGGCTTCATGTGCAATGTGTTTCGGTTTCAGGTTGATGTTATAAATCCTGATCTGAGTGACATGATGTCACATGATTCGTTTAACGTGTCCAGCGTCAAGAGCCGGTTGGGCTGGTAAATCATCAATGGAACCGTTTCTGGTCGGACATGCCCGGACTCTACAAACAGTCTGTTTGCAATATTCATTAACATTCTGGCATCAACTCAGTTCGCCTGATAGGCCAACTTGAACAGAAACAGTGATGCAGGGTGTAGGCATGCAGGCAGGGACTTGCATACAGGTGTCTGAGATCGGGGGGGACGACCTTCGGTACGATCTGTCTGACGGACTTCTGAATCCTTGTGCCAAGGACTTCACGGTGCAGGTTCAGAATCTCATCCGCGACACCGAGTGACCACCAGCACCGGCTGTGCTTGGGGTTCCGGGGATACTGGCTATCTATGTTGCAGTTGTTCATGAGCTGATCATCTTCATCAGAAGCCAAATGCTTCGGTACGGTCTGGCAGTCGACTGTGCCAAGAATCTACGACCGCAGCTGAGAGGCCCGGTGCCAAGGGCCGACATGGTAGCCCTGCACGTGGGCCCTTACCCTTGTATTCTTCTGTTTTATAGGAAAACCAAGGGCCCATGACTAGTATCTTGAAGGAGTACTCTGCGCAATAGAGGTGTCAGCTGTTTCGACGATGGCCATGGCAGCGCATCCGGCGAAGAAAGCCAAGGTGGAGAATGGTGCAGCAGGCGGCAGACTGCATTCGCGCATAGAAGCTCTCCCGAATCGTCACTGCAAGCATGCTTCAGGTCGCGGGCTGATAGAGAACTCTGAGTAGTGTGTGGTCAAAGGGAAGGAATTACAGCCGCTGCCAGGCATCGGCCCCATGGTCACGGGCGGAACCGCCGCATGGCCGTTAGACCGGTGCAGGGATGTTAGATAATTTCGTGCGTAGCAGGATGAGCCATGATGAGCTTCGCATGAACTATCATGAACTGGGCATCGGTGTCTTGACCCGGACAAGGAGATCCGGCCCAGGAAGGGGGAGGTCGAGTCTGAAGGGCCTAGGGGCCTAGAGAGCACAGCCGAGGTTTCCTGGGACCGGGATGGCATGCCCTTCTTCTCCATGGGTGCAGGCGAAGCTTTTCCTGAGAGACCTGAATTTTTTTTGGCAATTCAGCGAAGGTATTCTTGCGAGGGAACATGTTTAGAGGTCCGCTGTGAGCCAGCATTTCGCAGGCACCCTACGTGTGCCGATGGCGATGCATGCCGCTCACCGGAAGAAGCTTTGCCAGGCGGGGGGGGGGGGGGGCACTTCAGGACCCTGGGTGACAAGGACGCAGAACAGATGCGGGTTGGAAGTGCGAAAAGAAGCCGGCGGGCAATCTTCTCGGAAGTTCTCTAAACACCCGGAGAGATCAAGATGCAGATCGTCACAGCACATCCAGATTCGCCACCTATGTCGGAGTAGAGCCCGCACTTTGCCAGCTAAGTGACAGAGAGGTAGCATCTCGACAGATCTTGCCGACCAGGTTCTGCGCGAGAGAACGGAAATCGGCAGGGATGCGGTGATCTTCCTTCAGGGAGGCAAAGAGGCCAGCGTCTACGACACGGAGACTCGGTGGGCATGGGGGATGGCCTTCTGCCGCAAGACTGTGATCTTGCTTTGGAGTTCAGTTTGGCGATGGCTGCCTCTCCTTGAGCAAAACAGCCTAACTACAGTGAACAGTGCTCAAGCAAACCAAACAATGTCGCAATGACTTCCAGACTGGGGCACCCTCCTTGTTACCTTGATGGCCACGTCTACTGCAGCTATGTGGGAGTTTCCGAAAATTANNAATTAGGGGTACCTTATTTTGGGGTAGGGATCCTATTATTTAGGGTACTATATTAGGGTCCCCTATTTTCGGAAACCCCCATGTGCGAGCAACCTTTCCGAGGACACCAACTGGGATTTCAAGCAGGAGAGCAACTTCCAGTACCTCTTCGGAGTCAAGGAGTGCCCACGGGAAAAGCGACTCTCGTAGCACTCGCTGAGAAGATTCAGCCAGCCCGTCTTTGGCAGTCGTTCTGTTTTTTGCAATCCCACGTTCAGCTCTTTCTCCTACTGCTTACCGGGACATGATTCAACCTCGCGGACCATGCCGCTAGGCAAGGGGCGCAGCTTGTTGGCAGCCAACTCTTCCGTTAAGCAAGCCAAGCAGAATCCTGCACTGGAAGCTGAGCCGTGGACATAGCGCTGTAGACATAGCGCCAGCCAAGCTTTGGTTGAGGCCTGGAAGATGGAGGGTTCACGAGGGACTTGTCTTAGGACTTAGGAAGTGGGCAGACCTTAGCTTACGTAGAGGCAAACGGACAGAAGCGGATAGCTCCTCTAGTGAGCTCCTCTCGCAAGGAGCCCGACTGCTTTGCTGCTTTGCGTGTTCGCGACGCGCATGCGGTGCTCTTTATCCCCAGGCTTGGCAAGGGGAGTGCGGGTCTACGAGTTCTAAGTGCAAAGTTAGGCAGGATGTACTTTGCTTTGGACGAGGTAACAAAAAGTTTCGGGCTGAGCCTACAGAACATAGACTGACCTGGCATCTATTTTCTCCGCATCCCTCTTCCAAAGACGTTGCCAGGATGGACAAAATCTACCAGGCCTGGTGTGGTCCCATCAAGCCGCCGGTGCCCGGGCAGAATCCGTCGCACGTCATGCGAAGGGAGGGGTTGGGAGGGTTGGCGAGGATCTGAAGAGGTCCCTGAGACCCCCTCAGCCCTTGGTTCCAAGGCCTGGTTCCAGAAAGCCTACAGCATCGACGAGGCCGCAGCCGACAGGTACTGGGTGCGGTTCCTCGGTTCCTCGGAATTTCTTGGGTTTTTTTGTGACAGCTTCTTAGAGCTGCGACGGAGTAGGGGGAGCGTAAGGAGCAACGAACAGACTGCCAGGTGGCACATACTGATGAGATCCAGCAGACATTGCTCGGGTTGGGTGCCAAGGCCACGGCTCCTGTGACAGAGTGGGTCAGGAAGAGGAAGATCGGCCATGATCGGCCCCTCCTTGTCAGGAGCTTCTTTTCTTCCGTGGGTCGCCCAACAGAGACCCTTGGACGTTTAGTCCGCACAGGGTTTCTACCACCGGTGGGCGGGTGTGTGTGTGTGTGTGTGTGTGCATGTCTGCATGTAGACTATCCTGATTGCAACGAGGACTCCGGTCTCCAACTGGAAGAACCCACCTTCGATGGCAAGGACTCATCAGCTCGCAGTAAGTACAAGCAATGTCAAGTTGACGTGGCTTTCCACGGTGTTTGGCCATCAGATCCTGCCAAGTGCTTTGAGAGCATGCTCTTGTCTGTGGGACGGGTGCCCAGTGCATGCGGCGCAGGATACGTTTCAACTCAACAGCAAAGGCCAAAGTTGATGCAGTTTCTATGTGTTCCTTGCGCAATGCGTGCCCAGCCTTGAGTCCACATCTTGCAGGCAGCAGTGCGCTGTGGGATGAGCTGAACGAAATTCGCTCCGCTGGGCTCCCAGCTTTCGGTTTCCCATGATGTTCCGGGATCTTCATCGCGGTCGTTGATGGCTCGATGTAGCGAACATGTGTGCCATTGGCAGGTGAAGGACGAAGAGGAGCTAAAGCTGCTCCAGCACCTTGACCCTGAGAACTGGCAAGCTACAGCCGATGCAGACAAGATTGGCTGCGGCTTCACTCTTGATGGATGTTCTCTTGTGTGCTGGGGACAAGCATAGGCAAAGTTCCAAGCTGTTGGCAGCATTTCAGGTGGACGAACGATGTGTCCTCGGAGGCACATGTTGAGACCATGCGGGCGGTGAAGGGCGGCCAACGGGAGCACTTGGCAGAGGCAACCTTCAAGTACAAGGCGGGGTCCACTCTTCCCTTCGAAGATTCCATCGTTTCTGTCCCGTCCGAGGCAGCCTTGCGCGGCTGCTTCCGTGTGGGCTACAGCTGCATCTGTGGCTCTGGCAGGCGCTGCTCGGCTCAACGCACTGCGCGCCCAAGAGTTCTGGAGGGTTCAACGTTGCCAGGGCTGCCAGGGTGCTGTGCTCAGGTAATGCCATCCTCCACTACGGCCACGCTGCCGAGCCAAACTCCGAGTGCCTCGGCTCAGTTCTTCGACAGCCGTTGCCCTGGGTCGCACATGGCCTCCCTCATGAGGCTTGTGGAGCCAGGGTCTTTGAGACTGCTTGACATGGGCTGGAGGCTTAGAGGTGGCAGAGCCCGGTCAGTGCTTATTTTGGAACGGTGAAAGCCAGAGAGACTGCTTCTAAGGGGCAGAATACCACGGGTACACTGCCGATGTAACCTGCTCCTGGCCAGTGTATCTTGCCTGCAATGCTCAGGGGCTCTTCAAGGTTTCGATAAGGAGGGAACACAATCTTTTAGATGATCTATAGAGTGTTCAGAATTAAGGTACCAGCTTCCAAAGCAGAAGTCTGTTGCACCTGCGAGGGGCACCCAGCCAGCTTTACTGCTCTGACAGCCCAGGGTGCAGGCAAACACCAATTACAGCGGAACATCTCTTTCATGAACTGAGCTGCTCTCGGGGTGGGTGGAAACAGCCCGTTGATACGAAACCTTTTGAGACTCTTAATCAGAAGCTTTTTCTTCCGTGTCCCGCTATGTCGGGACCTTTCCGAGAGCCTCAGGAGTGGACGGTTTAGCGGACCACAGCGCGTGGTCTACGAGGCCCTATAGTTTCAGCCCCTGTGTAGGTGCACCGCCATCCCTCCTGTCTGTCTGCCTGGGCGAGCATGCAGACCACATGCATGTACATGTGCACGTGCACATGCATAGAACTCCCGCGTAGATTAGTATCGGGTTCCTGTCTTCTACCATCTATGTGCTGCGGTGCGGAATATTTGTGGGGTATAGCTTGCCAGTTTGCTTTGCAGCATGTTAAGTGCAGTGTCCTGTGATCCTTTTTTACATTGGTCTCCTTTTTGGAAATACTAGGTTTCTTCGCAAGTTCTATATGATGGGCTTCTTCTTTGTATATAGTGCAAGCATACGTACACGTGCACGCTTAGACACGGTATGCTCATTTGCAAACTTTCACTTTTGTGTATCCATACGTATATCTATTCTGTAATCGGTTACGTCATGTACGTGTGCGTATATGTATATGTAATGTGTATGTGTATGTGACATGTGCATGTCCAGCATGCCCACCTGTTGCCTTCATATCGGAGGCTTTTCACGGGTAGACCACGAGCAAGGGAACAACTTTGCCAAGATAAATCCTTTGCTTAGAAGCCATGCTAGAAGGTGAAAAAAGCCGTCCAAGAGCAACCCCGAACTCAAGGAATTATTTAGCTGTCATCAGCTTTTTCCAGTTTGTTTTTTGGTATGTTTTCCTTACTGTTGCTATATTTCGCAAGCTTTGCTTCGTGTCGGGTTTTCTCTTTGTTTGCTACGTTTTGCTTACTGTTGCTCCATTGACCAGGAGCCATGAATTGTTTGGCTTTACTTAGGTTGTTTCAGTACTGCTTAGTTTTTCTGAGTATTTCTTAGTTTTGTTCAGCCTCCTCAGCATTTGGCCCATATGCTGTGATATTCCTGTACTGTTGCAAAGGCCCCAGTCATGAAGAGTAGACACCTACCGACTGCCACCATTGGCCATCCTCTTCTGGGCTGTGCTTATCTTGTGCTTGTCTTTCATTTTTGCATTCTTGGTTTGTCATGGCTTATTACTCTTGCGTTGATTGTGATTACTCATGTCGCGATCAAAGCCGTCATGCCACCTCTGTTGTTGACATCGTGTTGTTGCCATGGCTACAGTTCAGTACAGCAATGCTGTTCTTACGAAGCACGGCTTCAAGCTGCACGTTGTGACTGCCTATTGCAATTGACTTGCAGGCAGTGTGGGAAACCGTCTTGGCCGTGGAGCGCGCGTTGAAACCGGGTGTTTCCTACAAGGCTCCCATCAGAAGTGTTGTCAGCTAAGCTCCTTGCAAGCATCCGAACAAGAATGAGGAGATGCACCGGCTTGCGCAACGAACGCTGCTAGAGCGAATGTCGGCGGCTGGGCTTTTTGTCCCCTGGCAGATTGGGGTTCGGAAGGCAGCGGACAGCTTGTAAGGGTTGGAATTTGCATGGCTTCCATAAGGAAGCATTTCCTTCACTTCAACTGGGGTGGGTAATGGTGGGTAGGAGTACAAAGCTAAGCCTTCTGCACGGAACTGTCTTTACACCAGCTCTTTCTGTGGAAGGTTGGCCAAGTCGAGGAGATGATGGCTGAAGGTGCCTGTTTTCCGTTGGAGGTCTGCCTAGTCCTGGACAGTTGGTGCTTGGTGGCTTTGTGGAAAGTGTTTACTACCTTTTCCGACTTGCGACTTCCTTTTGGCACTGATCCCAGATCCCCGCAGGCCTCATGTTCCACTTCATGCCGCATGGTCTGGGTCACCAACTGGGACTAGATGTCCACGACGTGGGCGGCTACGCGCCTGGTGTGGTGCGGAAGGACCGGCATACCGGGCGGCGTTCGGAGCTTGAAGATTGAGGACTTCACTGCTCCGTCAGGGGAGGTTCAGTGGCTCAGCCATTTCGATGGCGTTGGAATCCTTTGGGCATTCCTTCAGGACGTCAGCCTACGGCAACCTTGTTTGCAGACGTTGCAGCCTCTGGAGGACGATCCCAGCATCAAGGAGAATCTGAGATTAGGCAGGGAGTTGAAGGAGAACATGGTGCCTTGCCAGACTTGAGCTTAACCACAGTTGATTTTTTCTTTCCAGAGGCGACGGTTCATAGCCAGAGCGCACTTCTCAGTTGATCACAGTGGAGCCTGGCTTCTACTTTATTGATTACCTTATCGAGGAAGCCCTTGCAGATCCCAAGAAGGGATGCTTCATCAACCAGGTGTGCCGCAGATGGGACCGTGGGCACTCCAGCAATTTTTTCTTTGAGTGGCCGTTGCAGGAGAAGCTCCACCAGTTCTGGGCAGATGTCGGCGGGGTGCGGATAGAGGACAACGTGCCTTGCATGCCAGTTTGTCCAGTTGCAAGAACAACTCGAAGCTGGTCGCCGGTGCTCTCGACACGGACAAGTGTCTAATCTAACTTACAACGTCCCCTGGGTGTGATCAGCCGAGCCTCATCAAAACGGGATCTCCAACTTGTGCTTGTCGGATCTAGGATGCCAACAACCAACGCGGCCTTGCGCGTGCTATCCACGTTCCCTGAGGTCGTGATCACGAGCAATGGCTGCCGCATTCTCACCTGCGTTCCCCGCACGGTGGAGGAGATTGAGGCCACGCTGCCTCAGAAGCTTCGTGTTACCAGGGACCACCGCTTGTGGCAGAGGCCGTGATGGCGGGCGGAGCCTGGCAGGTGCTCCGGTGGCTCCGAGTTTTTTGCTACTTCCGCGACGGCAATGTGTGGTTTCAGAAGTCGCCAGGTCAGCGCTTCGTGCTGCCGCTTCTACACAGCTGCTTCGAAGATGTGAGGGCCTGCACGGCCTGAGGTCACCCTCTCGTGTCGGAAGTCAGATGATTCTGTGAATCTTTCTTGTCATGGTCCATGGTTGCTCGTTCTTCGCTTCCTCAACCTCGTCTCTCTTTTGCAGCCGCGATTTCAATGTCGAATCGAGGCTCAGGCTGTTTAGGAGCCTGCGAGAATCTGCTAGGCAGGGACGCGGCCCAAAAGCTGGGACCTGCACTTCAGCATCAGTGCCATGTGAGCCTCCATGCTGACGAGCTTCTGGCGGAATGTGCAGAGTGGAGGTACGACGTGTACTGTCACGCTCGTGATCGGGGCACGGAGGTCGACGTGGGGCTTTCTGCAGGCCAGCATTACGCAGCCAGTGCATTTGCATGTCTAAGACCAATATTTCGGTTGTTGGGCTGTTTTTTTCCATGGTTACACCTGCTGTTACAACTTTCAGCTGATCTCAAGAGAGTTGCGCAGGGCTTGTCGCAGCAGACCTTGCGTTGGCATTTATGCAGTATGTGGTCTCATCGAGCCGAGAGAAATGTCGTGGTCGTACCTCAGAGCGAGACCTTTGGCTTGCACACTACACCCCGACAGTCAGGTCACCCGGACCACGAGGTAGCAGTCTGCATTCGACCAGGGCAAACACTAAAACCACACGAGTAAAGACAGCGGAAGGCAAAGATTAATGGGATCTTGGTGGTAAGAGATGGTTTCGACGTCTCCACCTCAACCCAATGATGTTCTTGCCTTCTGTGGAGGAAACCCTGGAAACGACGTGGATTCGGCACATGCCAGGGCCTCGACGCTAACAGAAAATCTCATGTTCTCCAGAGGAGCGAGTTTCGTTTCTTCTCGATCGACATAGCCGAAGCGGCACCCACCTTTGCTGCTGAAAACAAGACCTCTTTGGCCGACATGCTTCTCGACGCTCCAGTCGAAGCGTGTGAAGATATCGGATAGGATGAGCAAACAACAAGCACAATACGTCCAGTTCCGTAAGTACAGACAGGCCTGCGGACGAGGAACACGCGATCGGAGATGTTCGGACAGTTAAGCTACCACAGTGTCGATGTCGTTCAATCTTCTGAGTAACATACTAATGTTCCTACTGCAACCATAGTCAGCCGACAAAGCAGTTGGGTGAAAGTGCCTGCAGAACATCGCAAAGCCGGAGGAAGAAGTCTTTTCTCGGAAACCCCACGTCGAACTAAGCCGGCCTCAGGTCCTCACGACCAAGCGCGACATCCACACCATGGGCGACTCCACACCGCCCTCCGTGGTGTCGGTGCGCCAAAAGCTTCTGAACAAATCAGAGAGGGTGTTTTAGAGATTCGCATCTGCCAGGTATCTCCTGCACACCAGCAGACCGGGGTACTTAGCAAGCCGACTTTCACGAGCCTTGGAGAACAGAGCCGGTTCCGAAAACCACCGGAGCATGAGTCCATGTCGCGCCACTCAGCGGAGCCAAGGATTGTCTTCGACGAGGACATCCAGGCCTGCGTACTTCCCCCGCTGCCTGCCCACCCCTCCCTAACTAGTCTTCGACAGGCTTCACTTTCGCATGGACTCGATATGCTTCAGTGGTGTGGGTTGCATATGCAGAATGTCCGACCGATCGTGCGCGGGAGTGGGCACTTCCGGGCACGTAGTGGTCAGGCCGGAAGTGGAAACGTCGTGTTCACGCCGCAGCGACTTGGATGACGTTAAATACCGGTTGGGAAGTTGAAGTTTCTCGTCCATACTCTGGGGTTTCAGCATGGCTCAGCATGGTGTTCAGTCGAGTAGAGGGATTGGCACCTCGCGAGGACGGGCAGCCCCATCTCCATGGACATCTCGAATGCTGCTAGCCTCAGAACAGCTCGGGAAAGGGTTGCCTTCCACACTCGTTCAGTGAAGTGACACAACTTACATGTAGTCCTTTAGGGGTTCGCAGGACCGACCCAGTTGCCCAGGAAATGTCGGCAGACTTCTTGCGTGTGTGCAGAGTCTTCAATGTCAAGGTCAACACCGGAACCTGTGCGCCTGCGAAGCTCAGCATCGTGCTCACGACTTTCACGGCCGGAGTCTTCGTAAAACGAGGGGTCGCCATGGGTTCCTGAGATGGACACCCTAAGCCTTGCCGAGTGTCTCTCAAGCTGTCCACAGAGTCTAGGTCTATTTCTTGCGAATCCCCTTCCTCCGTCATGACGGTCAGAGAGTTTCCAGGTGGACTGGTCCTCCTGCGGTGCTTCAAGCCCGCTGTCCACCTCAATGAACTGGCCGCTGGCTTTAAACCGTGCTGAATGATATTGGTTGTATTGGATATAGACTGAGAGAGACCAGTAGTTGAGTGAAGATCCAGAAAAGGCCACGAGTTGAGGCAGAGAGTTGAGAGACAAGGTCAGGCCCCAGAGCATGACTCCTTCTGCGCTGCCAAAGCTTAAAGCTGAAGCTTTGATCCAGCCTTGGGCTCCTCCAGAATGCAAGGCTTGCTCACCACATCGTCCTGCCAAAGCCAAGGTACGTGTCCTTCGTGGCGGGTGTCCTGACGGACCGGAATTGGTCCTTGAAATAAGATTTGGGGAGAGACAAGAAAAGATCCCGATGCTTCAAAAGGTTCAACTTCAGGTCCCCAGTCTTCAGATGCGACGATCCTGCGCAGGACGCCTCCCCAGCGACCAACCTCGTGCCTGCCTTCGGAGCCAGCAACTCGCAGCCTCGGCAGCAAGAACTTCCTCTTTAATACAAGAGCTTCCTTTATTGTAGGGGATCCTTCCACTCATGCCGGGGATTCGCTTCGTGCGTGGTGCATCGGGCTTTTCGACACTTGTCTCCCTCACTTGATTTGGGGCCGGTGAGGGTGGCTAAAAAGATAGGTAAGCTCGTGGAAACTGACTAGGCAACAGGCAGATTGAGAAACAGGAGCAAACCATAGCAAACCTCTCACCATGAAAAGCGAGTGAGAGGAGCAAACCAATCAACTGGGGAGCAAAAGCAGCAAACGACTCGAACGCGACTCGAGTTGTGTTCCCTTGTCGCCCTCCATTGGAGATCGGTGGGAGTGGCATATCCCGCTGGCCTCCCTTGTCTCTTGTCTGCATGATCTGCACGGTTGATGTCGACGTTTTTGTCTCCCATTGCCTCCTCCCTTCATGTGGGACTGGTATGGGTGGCCAATTTCGACGCAGGTCTCCCCTTGTCTCCTTTCATTTGGAACTGGCGGGGGTGGTCAACCCTACTTGTAGTTTGCTGTTCGGTTCTTGCTAATTCACCAAACAGTTCACTGCGTATAGGGGTTCTTGCGAGCCAGGCTTTGTGCTATGGGTCGGTCGCCACAGCCGGGGTTTTCGACGCCTATCTGAGGTTGTTTCCGTCGCATGGGGTTTTCAAGTCAAACTCACCATTTGGGGTCATCGGTGGTGAATTTGTCGGAGGTGTCTGCGTGATGAGCATCTCAGATTGTGTACTGGAGTTGGTCCGGGAAAGAGTTCCAGCCAGGCCAAGATCCAATCACAATTGCTGCCCAACCATCCAGCCCAGAATCGAAGCAATTCGCTGAGGTACTACTTCACCACGGCCTAAGAACCGCTCTGAGAAGAGCCTTCTCACGCGTCCGCGCAGATCCCCTCGAAGATGGATACCGAGCACTTCTCGGGGGAGGGAGCTGGCCCAGCTGGGCCAAATCCGCCTCAGGCCGTGCCCCCCTCCCCAAGCGGCGCGGCAGTCTTGCCAAGCTCGCTTTCCTTTATTTTCCATATCATTTGAAAGGCAGAATGTACCACTACGTTTCACGCTGAAACGGAGGAGCGACCACTGCGCTGCTTCCACGAGCTGTGCTAGTAAACAGGACTTGAGTCTTGAGGCATAGGCGGACACGGTATCTTTGCAGCGTTCGCTCCTCACAGTTTGAGCTCAATCGTTAGTGCACCGAGCTTCCCAGTATCGTCGCCCCATCGTCTCAGCAGAAGACGATGTCTGCGGGGGGAGTGATCCGACCCAAATGTCGAGTCGGGAGATAGTTGTGGCATCTATGTGCGTGAGATGCGTATTACAAAGTTGGAATCTAAAAGTTGCAGCCCGTTCCTGAAGCATGTACTGGTACCATTTGTGAATTTTCTGCGCTTGCGGCCAGCCTAACAAGCTCCGAGTTTCAACCGTGTGTGCGCGCAAAAGCGCAAACCTTAGGTCTTCTTAGAAGCTAGTAGATGCGAACGAGAAGTATGCAGGTGCCTGCACCCGTCGAAAAAAGCTGATATTTCAGCATTGAGTGCCAAGAAGTTGAAAGCCTGACACAGTAGATGACGTGGAGTTTCTGTATGAGGTGTGCAGCAATTAGGCTGGCTCAGCGCCAGGGAAGAACGCGAACGATGGCCGGAAAGCAACCAAACCAGACACTTGGCATGGAGCACGCATAGAGACATAGAGCAAGTCAAGTAGGACTGCATCTGCCTCTGTGCCGTGCTTGGAAGCCGAGCTGGTGGCTCAGCAAAGGCTTTTCAATTGAGCTCAGCGTCTGAAGTTGATCCGACGTGGGCACATTTGTAGCAACGCCCGAGGCCCCAGGCATGGAAGATGGCCAGGTCGACTCCGCTAGCATTGCTGCCGGTTGCTTCTTGAACCATGAAGTTGAGACCCTGCAGATGCTGGAGAGTCAGAGGATAGGTCTCAGCCAGCCAGGAGGACGACGGTGATGATTACGATGAGGAGGACGACGTAGACGAGGCCCGTTCGGAAGCTAGGACACTGCGTGAGGTGTGCAGAAATTCGGGTGCCATTGTGGCGGCTGCCTCTTCTGCAACGGAGACCCTTCAGAGACCTTACCTGAGTTGAGATGCCGGCCTATTGCAGGACGAGAATGTGGAAGTTCGAGAAGACGAGAATCCGGAGCCCCGCACCTGCTTTGAGTCCGAGTCTGCGTCTGCGAGTGGGTCTCCACGTCACTTTTCAACACGTCCCTGGACAGGAGGAGAAGCCAAAGGCCTGCGCTGCCAGAAACGCAGCAACAGGAGGTTCTTTACATTCAAAACGAAGCTACATGAGGTAGGCGCTCAGGCCTGGGCAGCGAGGGCTTGCGTTGCGCTCTGTCAGCTTGGCCTGGCAGGCTTCCGAGGGCCCGAGAAAAACCACGCCGTACCTTACAAAGTACGAAAGCGCAGACCCCAGGCAACAACTGCACCGACAGGAGTCTTCTTAGTGGTGTAGCACTGTATCAGCTCCTATTTCTAATATTTCCTAGGCATCCTTCAAAACTCCTACTTGTAGACTTCAGAGCAGGAGATCATGCCTTCTCAGAAGCCAGGAAACCATTCGCACCGCGGTGTGTCGAAGCTAAAGCTTGCATCATCTTGCATCAGTGCAGTGTTAGCCAAGGGGCACGGATCCTTGGTGCACGGGCATTGCAGATAAGTATGAATGCCTGGGCCTCGGTGCAACCTGCGTTGTAGACAGTGCAGATGCTGAGGGTACGTCTTGTGATCCAAAGTTGTGTCTCTGGAAGTGGTCCGCATGTCCAAATTTTTGAATCAAGGCACCAGTGATGGTCACTCTTGAAGGTGAGACCGACCCCCTCCTGATCGCCGAGAAGGACAGCAAGCATATTCCTGGTTTCCAGCGGACATGTCGCACCAGCTTGCCCCTGGTTACATGTCCAAGAATCTTCACGATCGATCAAGGCTCCTTCCTAGCTTCTCATGACCTACCTCACCAGGAGCTCCTTCAGCGCGTCATCCCATTCGTGATCCGCCGCTTCCTGCCGGACAACACGTACGAGGACTGGAAGGCCCGCGCAAGAGTCTTGGGGTGTTATGGAGTGTCTTGGGGCCGTCTCGATTGGCTGCCCTCCATCGTGAACTGCGCTCTCGTGTCGTGAGGTCTCAGAGTTACTGGACCTCGAGTGAGCCTGCGAAGTAAAAGTCGGGCGTCGGAAGAGGAACATGAACGGAAATGGGCATGTGGTGCAGCAGGGCAGAGCCAGGCAGAGCCAGGCATCAGAGTGCAGTCGTTCTGCCGAGCCAGGGCACCTTCGTCAGCCTCTCGGCTCGAAGCCTTCCGGGCCCAACCAGACCACAGCACACCCAGCAAGAAAGCTTACCAGATCTTACCAGTCTGTAGTGAAGCCAGCAATCATTAACTCGACAGCTTGCGATGCGCTCTGATGACCCCGGCAAGAAAGAGCTTCCGGTGGCCCCGCCGGAGGCCTGCTCCTCTTGTTCATGAGAAGGTGTGCAGACGTCCAAGACTTGGCGTCCAGGCCGCTTCAGGCTTCCGCCGCAAGGTGAAGAATTTGATTAGGCCGGCCTTACGTCGACCCTGGCCAAGTCGAGCTTGGTGTGCTGCATCCGAAGTTGGCTGGCCACGTGCAGTGTCCAGGGCGTCCTTGTGTGTTGAGAGCACAGCCAGGCGCGAGACGGAGCCAACATCGAACTCGCAAGGTCCCTTCAAGCACCGGCCTCAAGAAAGATGCTGCAGGTGCAGAGATGCCGAGCGGTGTCTTCGGCCTGTGCCAGCTTGAACTCCCACTCTCGAACCTCAGGTCGTCAAAGCTACCAGAAGGGGACAACGCCAGACACTTTGAGAAGGGGCCTTTGGAGACGTGGAGCTTTCGCGAAGGAGGATTGTTCTTCAGATCGGCATAGATCGGACCGCTCCCCGCTCGGCAGTGCTCGCCGGTGCAAGTCCAGGCTCCTGTTCCTGTTGCCACTGCGCAGCCGGCATCGAAGGCTTGGTGCAGCTCAGTTTGTTGGCCTTTGCATGTGAGCTGCTCGCAAGAGCTTTGTCTAAAATGGGAAGTGAAGTCGCAGCCAAGCGAGAAGCAGTGGAAGTCCCAACTCTCTGAAGGTCCCATCGGCCCCACCAGTGCCGCGATCGGCAGGCTGAAGCGACTGAATATAGTAATATTATACATGGGGCTTTTGTGTAGAGGGTATCGGGATCAGCCGTCAACCGGTTGACCTGGAACAACAGGCGATGCCGTGGCTGTTGGTGTCTTATGACATGCATCGAAGATGCAGTCAGCAGGAGCTCTGAGTATGGCTTGGGTAATTGCAGCGAAGCGTCTGGTGACATCCAATAGTACCACGACGGACATGTTTCGGAGGTGAAGTAGCGGATAATGTTGAGTCAATCTGTTCAGAGTATCCCGTTTAAGAAGGAGAGTATGCGCACCCCAAGTATCTCAGAGAGCCGGCTTGGGTCGAAAGTGGCTACCCTGTGAAACAACAAGTCTCCCGGGTTCCTGGCCAGGTTCCTGCTATGCGCGGCGCCGGCCATTCTGGAAGGCGGAAACACGCCGTGAGCTTCCGGCCAGGGCCACGGTTTTCAGCTTCACGAGACTGAGAGGAGGACTCTAGAAGCCTCCGAGGCTCGACGGGTGTCCGAGTTGAAGCCTCTTCCATGCAACGTGCGGCTCTCAGCTTGGAGCAACCGAAGGATCGAACAGCGACAGTATCTTGTCGGATGATTCTCATGCAGAGTTTCCACGATTTGCTTGACGACAGTTCGAACTGCACGCAAAACAGTCGTATGCTTACTGCTACTCCTTCCCTTTACACAATCCGGTTTAGCTGAACTCTAAAGCTAAATTTGGAACTCCCTTGAGAACTTTGGCAAGGTGCATGTCATCTGAGTGCTGGGTTACGCGTGGTGGTCTTGCGGGTGTAGGCGGTATGCGACTGTCTTTTTGTACCGGCCGTTGCAACACGTACTGACAGAGATCCAAACGGTTCGACACGGGCTCTGCGTTGGCAGAGTGTGATGAGTACTTAAGCTGGGGCAAAGTTGCATGTAGGCATCGAGACACATGAAGATCAAGGGTCGCACAGCCTGTGCTAAGCAAGCCCGTACTTGAAATTCCTCTCTTCGCTCTTTCGGATGCCTGTAGTTCGAAGAAAATCCTGCAGGCAAATGGCAACTCTTCTCACCCGTGGGAATTTGTTTGGGGTTGGATTCCTCATCAAACGATGCTGCTCTCTTCAAAGCGGCGTCAAAGGCAGAAAGCCTCGCAATATGCTCCGAGAAGCAATCAAAATAGCAACATCAACAATACCAGCAATGCTATGGGATAGGATTATCGATCACACGATACAGCACCCGTAGTGTTGATCAAGATCTGCCTTTTCTATAGTCTTCTTCTGAATCATATTCTGTACAGGCCTATGTCTCCCCGAGCCCCGTGGCGTTCTGTAAAGGCACGGCCTGCAAGAGGCCGGTCGCCACCAGCGTCGACCAGGCGTGGCTGAAGCGGACCACCTTGTTGAAAGATCGTACTACGTTGACTCTCGCATTGCAGTCTGCACAGTTTAGTATACACTGCACATTTCGAGGCACATGACACGTTCTCGGGATCAAGAACGTGGATAGTAGAGTGCACAGACGTTCACAGTCCCTGCACGGCTGACGCTTCAGTACATTGCCTGCGCTCTCGAATCCAGGTGCCTCAGCAAAGACTCGCAGCCCAAAGCGGAGGAGGCGAACAAGCCCGAGGTCCCACCCAGCTGGAAGCCGTCCGGGTTCGAGCTGAATGCATGCTTGGCGGTCGGATACTGCGGAACTTCGCCACAGGATCACTAGATCTCCAACAATTAAGCCCCGAAGTTTCCGCCAGCGTCGAAGGAGTCGACCTCCCCATTGGCTGCCAAGCAGCGGCAAGCACTGGCCATGTCTCCTGGGCATCATTGATTCTTCTGGTGTCTATCTCCGCGAGCTTCGCTTCATGCTTGCAGTTCTGTGCCCATCTGTTCGCGAAGTGTTGGGAATTTGGGTCCTAGGTCTGTGTCGCATCACTCATGACAGGAGAAAGCTGCACAAGACAGCCGAGATCTACAATGCACCAGTCACTGTGGGCCACACCTTCAGGCGTCGGCGATCTTGGCGAACGTCTTGTACGGCCGTGGGGTGTTTTCGCCGGCGCAGAACTGCTTTTTCCAGCATCCTTCGGGACGCTCTGTTTGAGCTTGCCGCAGCTGCAGGAGAAAGCTGCCGCAGACGTTGAATCACATCGGAAGGCCATGCAAAGCTTGAAGGCGTAGAAGCAAGCAGTGTCACGGGACCTGACGATGACCAGGCCAAGAGGCACTTCGCTCCCGCCTGTGCTTCAGCAGGCACCATTTGGTGTCACAGCCAATCTGCAGAACTTCGCCGGACCCCGGCCCAGAAACATCGCGGCAGAACACTGCTTCCCAGGAGACGAAAGCTCCGCTGCTCGCTTCCTTGCCGCAGGCCGGACAATTAGATCTGCTCTTGAAGGGTTTCCTGGAAAGGGTGTTTCCTGGCAGGCCGACCCACCTTGGCCGGCACCGGAGTCTGAGGTCGCTAAGGCCAGAGCCTTAGCAGAAACGTGGAAGTGCAAGAAGCAGCCAATTCCAATTGCAGTGGTTGATTCCCCTGTGAGGCTGTGGAGCACGAGCGTGAGACCACCAGCACGTGGGCAGGCTGGAACTCAAAACCTGCTCCATGCCGAGCCTTGAGTTCAGGCTCATCTTACAGTCAGACGGCTGTGTGAGTCTGCATGTTCGAAACCTGTACTGAAGATGAACACCTGATCGGTCGGCTGACTTGTCAGGGCTGGATATTGCCTTGTATGATTGCTGTTGCAGGCGCGACCGTCCGACATGGCGACGACGCCAATCTCGCCGCACTCTTTCGACAAGGCGCACATGCTTGTTCCCTAAAGAGCGCTTGGACTTTGTGTCACGGCTCCCGCATCTCGGCAGGCTGGGAGCGCACCCAGCAGCAGAACGCGCAGGCCGCAGCCTCCATGGCATCGGCCACGGCCAGCGCGGGGACCGAGTCGGAACGCCGCGCCGCCCCCCTCCTCTGCTTCGGAGACACGCCGTGTTGGAGCGAGGCACGGAGCCCAGCGCTCCCCCAGCGCCCGTCGGGAAGCTCCCGATCTCGGCCAGCCCTGCACCCAGCAGCTAGCCTTTTAGCGGCCCCGGCCACTGCTATGTCGTCATACTTGGTGTGTCTTCATGTGCCTTTCGTGGCCCTTGCATCGGCATGAACGTCCAACAGCAACAGCAGCTCAAGGCGCCCAAGGCATCCAGCTAGTCTTTGAGCATTCCCACCCCAGACCCTTGTCGATGAAGACAAATGTAGCGCCAGTGCAGACGACAGTAGTTTAATCGGTGGTCTCCGATGATTGACACTACGACAAACTTATAACATAGAGAGTATAGTACCTGTAGTCTGTGGTCACCGTTCATGAGAATCGCGAAGTGTGCCCTTCAGCTTTCCCAAGTCAGCGTTGCGGCTTCGCATTTCCACATCCTCAGCACGCCGCACTTGCATCTCGCAGAGTCATTCTCGAACTTACTCTCTTCTTGAGTACTTTTCTCGACCTTTCTTCGCTCTTGCTGCCGTTGCCTTTCAATCGCAATCGCTTTCCTCAAGATTGGAAGCTCTGAGGTTCGACTGTCCGACACGCAGAAGGTATCCCGCTGAGCGCGCTCTTTCGCCAAGGCTGCAACCACCGGACATTGCGGGGAAGGGTGCTGTTTTGCGAAGGTTCTTCTGCACAATGTGCACAGCTGTCGCCGCAAAAGTCTCAGCCGCCGAAGGCTGGGAGCAGGCACAACAGGAAGCTGCAAAGAACGGCAAGATCCTGCCCGGGGCTTCGAGCTGGGGCCTCATTCCATCGCGGCGGGGAGACATCCACAGCTATAGCCATGCAACTGCCTGGGGAGCTCTCTTCTGGTTCAATCATGTGTCCTCAATCCCAGCTGTGGTCGGGCGGTGCTCAAGTTGGTCTGGCACGTTCCGTGGTTTGAAGAGATTGCACTTTGGGCATCGCGCCGAGGTTTGGAGAATACATGCGTAACATGTTGGTCGACTTTGCTGTCGCACCTCAGGCCCAAGCCAGATTGGGCACCAGTTTGCACGTCTGCACGTGTTGAAGCAGCTACTAGTAGGGTGTTCTAAGTCAGGAGAAACTCGCATTCAGCCTATCTTTAAACCGGCACCTTCTCAGTTCAGCAAATATAGTCAAGCCGTGTGGCGCCATGCGGCAGAAATACAAGAAGGGGAAGCAAGGCAAACCCCATAATCCTCAAAAGCGCCAGAAGGTCAGCGCCAAGGTCCAAGCTCGGGACAGGGAGGTGCCCTCGAAGCCCGAGAGGCACCGGCAGGCAAAGCGGCTGAAGCGAGCGAAGAGCGCTCCGAAACGCAAAGCTACCGAGCTGGACGAGGGTGGAGAGGGGTCAATCAGCTACCCACCAGGAGTAAGTGACGAGGACGCGAAGAAATCCGAGGAATACCGGAAGAAGCACCGCGTGGCAGTAAAAGGCCCGTGCCCGCCTCCCTTCGAATCCTTCGCCGCTGCTCAGGACTGCCTTGGCGCTGACTTAATCGAGGCGATGTATGACGAAGGCTACGATGCACCGACCCCGATCCAGGCCCAAGCTTGGCCAGTGGCCGCGAATGGCCAGGACCTCTGTTAAGTGACTTCATGGTCCAACGTTTTTTTGCACTGCAGTGGCATGTGTGAAGTCACGTCTCAAGATTTGCAGGACTTGGTGGCAATTGCCGAAACCGGCAGTGGCAAGACCTGTGCCTACCTGCTCCCTGTCATGGCTCGAATCGCAAAGTGGGGCCCAAAGCAGGTCGTCATGCAGGGGGCGGGCAAAGATGACCGCCCTCCCGCGCAGCCTCACGCACTGGTGATGGCCCCCACACGTGAGTTAGTTCAGCAAATCTGCATGGAAGCACAGAAGTTCTCGGACGGATCTTCCGTTCGAGCCATGGGGATATACGGGGGCGTTCCAAAAGGGGAACAGGTGTCAGGGCTGAAGTCAGGCGTTGACTTGCTCGTGGCCACACCCGGTCGACTCCGTGACTTCATGACGGGAGACCCCAAGAAGGGAGCTGCACCCGTCGTGATCGTCGAGGCCGTCACCTACGTTGTATTGGACGAAGCGGATCGCATGCTTGACATGGGCTTCGAGCCAGAAATCCGCTGGATTGTGGCACAGTGCCCGGCAGGTGGTGACTGTCAGGATGTGGTGGCAGGGAACGCGCGGCAGACGCTTTTCTTCACAGCCACATGGCCCAAGGACGTGCGCAAAAGCGCTTCGCATTTGACGAGAAGCGCAGTGCAGATACAAGTAGGCAAAGGGGTTGGACGGCTTGCGACCAACACCAAGATCAAGCAGATGGTTAGTCTAGTGCGCGAGGAGGACAAGCTCGTTGAACTGAAACGTGTACTTGCGTCTCAATTGCTACCCGGCGAAACCGCTTTGGTCTTTGCTGGGCGTAAGGGCACTTGCGATGCCCTGCAACAGGAGCCGCAGGGGGGAGGGTGTCAAGTTCCTGCCCGAAGCAGTGCCCTTGGGGAAAAGTTGCTGGCAGGAGCTCACCTGGGATCCTTTGAAGCCCGATGCTCCGGTTTGTGCCTGGTGCCGGGCGCTTCACGGTGATAAGGACCGACCCCAGTTCAGAGAGCGAGAGCGAGAGAGCGTCTGTGCTCAGACCTACCAGGGCGCGTGCGGGGTTGGCAGCTGCCCTCTCTTAGCTGTGTGGAAGAAGCGAGATAGAGAGAGAGAGGGAGAGCATGTGAGTGCGCGTCTTTCTCTGTATCTGTGTGTGCTGCGTTTGTTTCCAATTCAATGCTTTTCCCTCTGGCAGCCCCTGGCTCGAGCCCCCATCCCAATTGGTATCCCTTAGCCCCTCGCCCGAACCGCGATGGCGCGGCGGCCCGGCACCTGGGCCGTGGCTCTGGCCTCTGTCTGGCTGCTCCGTGAGGCCTCCAAGGCGCCACTCGGAAGCAGAGTCTTTCCGCACATGCACGGTAGTCGCAGTATCACGCCTGAGCTGCCGGAAGTAGCCTTCAGCCCAGGTTTGTGTCGGGAAGCAACTTCGGTCAAGGACGACGGCTTTCTGCCCGGAGGGCCAGCGCTGAGCCCGTGAGCGCTGAGCCCATGCTGTCGAACCAGGCTGGGATTGCAACGTAAAGCTTTCAGAATTCCGAATTGAACGGAGAGTCGATGCAGAGGGGAGCTGCAAGCGGAAAGAACACGTCGTGACGTCCATGGAGAGCATTGGAAATGAACTGCTTGTGAGAGGATTTCTTCTGGGGTTCCGGCTACGACCAGTCTGAACTGGAGGAGCTGCTGGGGCATCGTATGGGGGCAAAAAACTTCGAGCCGAGGATTCGGAGCCCGATCCCAGGCATCCGTCCCCCAGGTGTGAGAACTCCCACCATGTCTTGCTGTTGCTTCGCTGCACGGGCAAATTTGACCATGTTAGTCTTTGTTTCGGAACTTCCTGCCCTGTGTCGTCGGTTTCGTTGCTAGGCTGAGGAGCACTCTCTGTTGAAGTCTTCGTCTGTGACCGAAGTTGGCCTTTGATTGCTGCACCGCTTGATCGGATCTGATCTGCTTCTCGACCCATCCCTGATTGAACACTCGCCAAGCGAAGGAGGCTGCGCTAAAGCTGTCCCAGAGCTCAAGCGATGCCCTCTGGGAGAAGGTGGAGTTTGGACCAGACGCTCGGATTTTCGAACTGGTGGTGTCTTCTTTCCCCCCCCACAAGCTGCAAGAGAAGTGTTTTCATCGGCAACGGTGCTGAGAGCGGGCGGTAGTCATAGGTCACGGTTTAGAGACCATCCAAGCTGGATTACCGATTCGGATTCTGACTCGCGCTCTGACGCCCAGGACACCAGACCTGCTCATCTGACGGCAGATGCGGAGTGGACGCCGCTTCCCAAGGATGAAAGGGCTTAGGTCTTAGGTGCCGTCATGTGCTGTCGTTCGTCTGGATAATCTCCGTCAGCCTGTGCTGCGTCATGTTCCACGCAGGAGCAGCGGTGGATGGACCTGCCACAGTTCGTCGCTGCACAGGCGCAGGTGGGCAGCAGCGAGATGACCTCCAATGCGCTCTTCACGGTGCTCTCCCAGGGATCCGGCTATTTGGAAAAGCCCAAGGTGGAGGCAGCGCTCCAGTCCTGGGCCAGCAGCGACAAGACCTTAAACCAGGTCGGGTGGTCCAGTTCTATGTTTTGGGCAAAGGCTCAGATAGCTTTTGGCTATGCCTGGTTATATGGAATGTCCAGCTTCTGCGGATACTTCTTTTTCTTCCGGCCGCCCTTGTTCATCTTCTTCGGGATTGACCTGCTGCCGGGCACCCCACAGTGGTGGGCAAACTGACCACCGTTCTCTCGCTTGGTTCACACCAGTCGGTATCCAATACAGAATCTCACCGAAGTGAGGATTCTGATCTGGCCAGACTTCACTTTTTAAGCACTTTTGTGCGGTTCTGGAGCTGTCGAGAAGCTCTTCAATTGTTTGTAGTTTAGGAATGCGATAGGATCAAAGCCACACAAGCAGCGACGCTTTCAAGGAGTGTGTCGACCTGATCCGTTGTCGTAGCCCGCAGCAACTGCCGTGTGCAGTGACGGCAGGACCAGGCCGAGCGGAACAAGGCCCTGGCGGCCTTCCGTGCCTCGGCTCGGGCCGGAAGAATCACAACAGCAGGACCTTGCTGCTCTTCTCGTTTTGCGTGTCTGCAAGCTCAGGTGCGATGACGGAGATGCCGCGAAAGGGCCAAAAAGGCAGCTGGGCCAGAAGTGCAGACAGGAATTCCGAGCTACCGAACTTGCCAGGTGTCCTGGTGGCCACGGACGTGGCCTCCCGTGGGCTGGACATTCCAGGTGTTGCTCTGGTGGTGATCTGTCTGCATTGAACAGCTCCCGTTGAATGCGTTACAATGAGACTCTTTTTGTTGGCATGCTACTAGGATGTGGACTCTCAGACTTTCAGGTGATCTTTGACTATGCTGAGTCCAGTCACTCACCACAGGACTACCTATGCGATGTGTCTCCGACCGACCTGGCACCTTATTTCTCTCACTGGGTGCAGGAAGCAGCAGAGGCCTACATCCACCGAATCGGCCGGACGGGCCGTGCTGGCAAGGAAGCGAGTCGAATCAGGGCGTTCAGCAGCGCTTTGTAGAGATGCGTATTGTGAGCTGCCGCCAAAATCTCGCAGGAGGGAAGGGCGATCACATTCTTCGATCCTGAGAAGGCCATGTGGAATAGCATTGGGGGCGTTCTATTCTATACAGTGCTGAATGGCTCTGGAAAGTTGTGGGCACGCCACCCTGTATTTTGTAATGAAGGACAAGGATCATCACTTACAAGAGCCACCACATTTCTTTGCCTCTGACATCTTACCTCGCAACGTGAGACAGCACGCGGGAAGCCGATAGGTGACGCAGCAAGATAAAATGGGGATTTCCCCAAATAGAGGACCCTAATATAGTACCATAGTAGGATCCTGATTATAAGAACCCCTAAATAAGGTACCCATTATTTTCGGAAACTCCCAAATCCTGCTCGTGGCATTCGGGAAGGATGCCGGCGCCTCCCAGCTCATTGGCCTCTTACAGTCGGCGGACCAGGCGTTAAACCCTAAACCCTAGACCCTTCGGTTGAGGGCGCGCTTCCTCGCTTTGAGGGACGGCGGTTGTGCTGCGGCCCTGGCAGGTAGTGCCTGCGGAGCTGCAGCAGCTGGCCTTGAAACCGCCCGTCAAGGCCTCCTCTGCGAGTTTTCAGCAGAGGTTCTGCTGATCGTAGCACCTCTCTCGACGAGGTTTCTAGTCTTGCCTGCTCCGCTGAGGCAAAGCTTTCGAAACGGGACAAGAAGGCGGCAAAGAAAGGTAAAGGCTCTGGCCTCAGAACCCTTGCAGGACGATGGCGAGGCCCTTTGACACCCTGGAAGTAAGGCCGTGGAAAGGGGAAAGCCCTGAAGCAGAAGAAGCACCTCTGTGGCAAAGGGCTGAAGAACGCTTTTCAACTACCGTGCCACTCGTCACTGAGGTTTGAGAAGAAGCAGCGGCGCGGAAAGAAAGGAAAAACAGCGTCAAGTTCAACATGCCTGCAGTTGCCTAGAGACAGCTTACGAAGCCTAGCGGCGAGGGGTTGGGGACGCCAGCCAAAACCTCGAGTGTGCTGGTGCTAGAACCCAGACTTCGGAGAGTCGAACCCGGGTCTGTACGTGGGCGCACGACCGAATGAAGCACCAGGCGTTTACCCGTGAGCTGAGGCGGAGCTGCCCCGAAACAGCCCGCCTCATCTGCCACGGCCTCATCGAACGCTGACTACTGGGTGCCGAACTTCCTGCTGGCGTTCTCCTGCGTTGTTGCGTTTTGCGGTGGATAGTTGAAGTCGGGCTGTGATTAGTCTGGGACGGATCGAGTTCACAAGTGATGCAAAAAGAGCTTCCATTTGAAGGAACACTGGCTGGTCGTGCATATGGCGCATTTGATTGCTAAAGGCTGGGACAGTCATTAACCTAGGTTCGATTGCGACGATTCGTCATCGCGAATTTGGCCGAAGAGTTCCGAACAGGATGCATTTGATCAGAACTTTCCAAGGAGTTTTCACTGCCCGGAGCACCGGCGTGGCTTCGTGCCAGAGCTCAGGTCCGCTGTGTTATCTTGTGGCATGTCGCGGTGTGAGCTGGGGGTTGCCTGTTCATGCACCCGTGCACGAGTTTTCATTGGCAAAGTCCGCAGTTCTAGAGGTTGTCAACCCATGCTGGGCACGGCCTGTGTAGTTGTAGCCGTTGCAGTACTTGTTGTGGGTATGAGTCTCGGAGCTAGCACTGTCCTGAAGGGTCGACGACACCGAAGCCCGACGCCGCAAAAAGAGGAGCCACCGCGCCGACTGTCATCTTCCCCGCAGCTTGACAGCACACACACACACACATGTTTGCTGTGTATCACTCCATATGCTTCCGACACAAAGGCCTTTGGTTCCCATGGGAAGACTGTTCAGTGCCATCCAAAGCGGCTCCCAGGCGCATCCCTCGGTACGGGTACGGAGCATTCCAAGACTCTGCACAGCGCCAAGCTGCCGCAGGCCATGACCCTGACGTGCCTCGAGGGGGTGAACTCGCTCCTTCGAGAGGCAGCCGGATGCGCCAGGATCCCAGCTCGAGCACAGCACAGCTTTGCGCAGGGCCTTCACACCGAGGTGGCGACCACAGCTTGGGCTTGGGATCTTACCCCTGAGGCCCAAACTGACACGACACGGAATCGACTAATGGGCTGTCGCAGCAATATCGTCACGCGGACTACTTTCGCTTCAACGTGGTTGCGCATGCCGATACCTCCTGGACAGGACTGCCGTCCCGAGAATATTGCCCCGCTCATGGGCAGCAATTGGCAGAAGAATCAGCAGACTCTGTGCTCAGAGGCATGGCTCGGTCATGCCAGCGCTACTTACAAGCAAGACTGCCCAGGGGGGGATGACAGCCAAGCGCACGAGACGTCACTTTGAGACGTACCGCCATGTACGCGCAGGCACAGGAGGTCAGCGACGAGGCGAAAGAGTCAGACCAGGAGTCCATGGTTGAGGTGGCCCCAGTGCTTCATCAGAGAGCGCTAGGAGCAAAGATGCGCTGAGCCGGGGCTGCAAGAAACAAAATGCAAGTTAGCCCCGAGTCGACGCGATTTCTGGAACGATGAAGCTGCCAGGTAATCTACGATCCTGACTGGAACGTTTACTACGATCCCGAAACCCATGAATACTACGAGCTGATCGAGGAGGCCCGTAAGCTGCTGCGGGTATCGCTGTGGTTGTGTTGCTGGTAAGCGCTTTACGTGGTTCTTGGATGTATAGAGCGTCTGGAAGACTTTTGCCAGCGAGACTCGGCGATTCCAAAATTTGTTTGCTGGTTTCAACCCGCCCTGACTGTGAGAGAGCGTGATCTCGGAAGGAGCTCCAGAAGTGAGCCACGGCGCTTCAAGACTTTCCCTCGAGCTTGGACTCATTGAGACATTCAGGCACTGAGTTGTTGACGCACAGGATACCTGCAGGACACAGAGGGCTCGCATTGTGTCAAAGCTCACGGGTCCTGCGTGGTGCAGCAGAGGGTGGTGCCAACGTCCTGGCCAGCATGGTTTTAGCCAGGGTTTCTTTGCCGTTGCTGTGTCCTGAGATGCGATCGCCGGGGCCAAAAGTACGCATCTGACGATGTGCACAGAGTCTGCAGCTGCCTCACTGCCATGTGCTCTCGCTTGATACCTGGCTCGACTCTGAAAGGTAGGACGAGAGCGCTCTCTCCTACAACGGCACGGCAGAACACACTCGACACCCCCCGCGAAAGCCTGGAGCACATGACGGCATAGCTGGGAAGTCTGTCATGACAACTCCAAGAATTGCACCGCCTTCGTCGTGGCGTAGTACCGCAGCCATGCGTAGGTCCATGGCCTCACAGGCACCATTGCCGGTGCAGAGCCGTCGTTGACGACGGCGCATCATCTATTATGACCCAGCAGGTAGCAGTCCGGTGCTCAGAAGACGGGAGGGTGTCATGTCGCGCTGCCCTTGCAGCAATCGCTTCGAGAGTCAAACGACTCTGTTCCAGTGCGTCTTCGCATCGCTGGTGCCCAGGCCGTTGTCAACGTCCTCATCATCGTGGGCAAGGAGTTGCCGAGTCTTCGCAGTTGCATGCCGTCTCTCGGAACCGTTGCAGGGATCCGCAGGTTCACAGAGGAAGCCTTGGGGCCTTGAGCTGTTCTATACCTTGCAGGACGACATACCCATCTACGAGGCAGACCTCAGCACCGAGGGAATCCGCGAGGATAGCCAGAATCAATCCGGTATGGCTCAGTCGGGGAGAGCGGTATTATGCCTACCATGAGAGTGGCCTGTGCAGAGTTGTTGCATTCATTCGCTGGCTTTGCGAGCGAAAGGACAGTCCGCACTTGGACCAGTTTGTGGTGCATGCAGCTTTAGATTTGGACGGGACCTTGGATGATTGGCAGCTGAGTGAAAACACGAGTTAGAGATAGCGAGAATACACTTTGGAGTGCTCGTGGGCAAGGTGGATGAGATGGTTTGGAGTACGTCTTCCATGTTTCTCCGTGTGGTGGACAAGTTTGGACCCGAGGATCGGATAAAGTCTGCCTCTGGAGATGTCGCAAATCAATGGAAGGTTTAACGACTTCCACGTCTCAGCCTACTGCACCGCAGGGCATGCTGGACCCTTAGAGAGGTGGAGGCAATCTTAGAGGATCAGGCTGCGTTCGTGCTCCAGGACTCTAGGACTCTAGGGCTCGAGTCTCATTCCAAGGTGCGCATGATGTTGCTTCACAAGTGCGCTGCCCAGATGTGTTGGCTATAGTCGTTCCGGCAAAGTTCTGGTTGACTTGAGGCACAGAAACGAGGAGGCGATTCGGGCCTTCTTTGCGGAGGTCCACGATCTCTACATCAAAGCGATGTTGAGCTCCTTGTTTTGAAAGAAGCCCTGCAGATCTGTTCGGATCTGCAGAACCTCGTTAATGGCAGTGACTTGCGACATCTTCGAATCAGGGTGTGTCGCAAGTGTGAGGCCCGTTTCAGACCCCCTCCACTCCGATCGAGTCTCCAACGTTCGATGCCAAGGCACACGCCTGAGGGCTTTTCACGAAGAGTGTGTTGGCTTCTGCGGCTTGGCGACTTCCATTTGTGTCTCTGCCTCGTCGTGCGAGGTGCGTGCCGCTGGCCAGAGGCCGAGCAGTACCGAACACACTCGAACTCAACGTGGGATTCCTCCGAAATCATTCGATGCAGGCACTTTCGGGCATGACCCAAAGGAGATCTGAGTGAAACTGCTGGACCGCAGTCTGCTGTGGAACAAGCAAGCCTCGGCAACTTGTCTTTCTTCTGACCTTCGGAGCTGTGGGGTGTGTGACTGTCTAGGACCTGTCCTGAAGATGAGACGATCCATCCCTTTGCCTTAGACCCTGCTTGACGTCGTGCTTGAATGCTGTTGACAGCTTCACAGGGTTGAGTGTGTTCTTTGCAACCATTTGATTTGGCTTCCATGGGCATCCGGCTTGCAGCCAGCTGTGGAAGACCTTACGACATGCAACATGCACTTTACTTTAATGTAGGCCCCACTGCCACAATAAGTTGTATGGAGCTCTCTCGTGCATAGGACCTCGCCCGACCCAGCCCGACCCCAGCCCAGCCTAGCCCGGACCGAACAGCGATGTGCCAGGCCTTTAAAGCATCCAGTGCAGGAGACCTCGAGCTTGGCCACATGTCGGGTAGAGTCTAGTCGTCTAATCCAGTTAGAGCGGCTGCGCTCCACCGCTTCGATGCCGGGGACACATGGGCCAGCCCCGTCGGGCTTGTGCATCGCAGTCTGATGGATCGGCATCGCCATGTTCAGCGAAGTCTCATCATGCGTGTTGAAGTCGAACTCATGCGCTCTGCCAGGGCCGGCTGCGGCTGCGTGCATGAGGAGGACTTGACAGGCGAGCTGCTGAATCTCTCACTGTCCATTCGCACCGGAGCTGGTTCGAGGCCGGCAGGAGCTGCTCCTCCCATGGATTGATGCCTGGTTCCTAGCCTCGGACTGCAGAAAGAAAACGAGCTTTTGTTAGGTTTCAGATCTTGACCAGGTCGCTGGTGTTGAGGGCCTCAACGAAGAGGTGCACCCTGCCGGGTCCGGCTACAAAGCCCTGAGGCTCCAGAGACCTGCGGCCATGCTAAAGCATTGTCCCCATGACTACCGCCTAAGTTGAAGCCGGCAAGCAGCCATTACAGCGGGCATACCCAAGTCGTGGACGTGGCCCGCGGCATGCAAAGCATTCTGGATTTAGAGCAGGTGATGGCAAGACAGGCTTTCACAACGCTTCAGCTGCAGCGTGGTCACGATCGCAGGGAGGATTTCCCGTTCAGCTGATGAAGAACCGTCCTACCAGCTAGATCCGCTACTGAAGAAGCCACCCCTGCTAGGAAGTACAAAACTTCTTTGAACTTCATCTGCTCTCAGGGCTACCGGCTCCAGGAAACGGAAGACACATGGCTGTGGAATTCGTAGCAAGTGCAGGCCCACCCCCAGGAAAACCTCTACCCCATGGCCTGACAACACCGACGGCCTCACACCGACCTCCAGCCATAGTTTGAAATTAGTCAGCAGAGGACAGTCAGTTAGTTTCAGCTTTTGGGCGTGCTGGCGTTAGTGAGATCGCAGCAAGCAAGGCTTAGAGCTCAGGCACTTCGCACCAAAAAGCATCTACTGAGCATGGACTCATGCAGCTTCGCCTGCAGCTTCTGCTCGCGAGTCTGGTCATCGCTGAGACCTGCGAGAGGACACGGCAGCGACAGCCGCGTAGCACTGCGTAGCACTGCGTAGCACTGCGTAGCACTGCGTAGCACCCCAGTTTGTAGATGACCACTGTGGACCCTAAACAGATTCCAATTTCGGAGGCGGTGCCCATCGGGGCAACACTGGATACCGGGACACAGCCATTGCAGGCGGGTGAAAGCCGTGCCCTGCTCAGACATGCTCTGAAGCTTCTGTGAGAGGTACGACCGGGACAGTGAGACCTACTGCTCCTGCGGGGAGGTGGTCTCAGCTGACGGAAGTGCCACGGCTATCCGGAGGTGTGTGATGTAATGTTATCGTAACCTGTCATTTCGAAATAGGCTTCTGTTTCTCGGGGTCTGTGCTGCCAAGTGGGGCACCCAAGGTGCATGCCTGCAATGCCTGCAAGGCCTGAGTTTCGAAACATCAGCCGAGGGCCGGACCAGACGCAACTTGAGCACTCTCGGGCCCCTGATTCTATAGTTGATCCAGGGAAGCTCGGAATCTGGCTAAAGAGTCTTGGCGTGTAGAGCTCGAGGCGTAGCCTTGCAAGCAGACCTCTGCGATAAATTGTGGCAACAAGTAGCTCGTAGGAGATTCGACGGTAATTATTTCTTTTTGGAAGAGACAGAGCCTGCAAGCCGACGCGAACGCGAAAGTTGAATCGCAGGGCCCTTTGACGCGCACCACGCCTCCCAGCGCTGTGGTGCATCCGGCGCGGCCCCGTGGCCTCTGCCGGGCCCGGTGACGCTGGCCGGGCGAAGCGACGGGATAAGTGACGGGTGTGAGGTTGCGTCTGAGCAGTCTCAACTTGAGTTCTGTCCTTCAGTCAAGGGTCAAGAGACTTCGACGCGAGGCATGCGATGCCTTCAGCCTCCAGTTTCTATCCGACGAATCGGGAGAGGCGCCGGATTTCGACAGGTCACGGAGCGGTGGAGTGAAGCTGAGTGGCCGATAGATGTGGATATGGGCAGTTCTCTAAATTAGGGCCCCTTTTTAGGTCCCCAATATAGTACGGCACTCTTATAAAAAGGACCCTAAAAGAAACCCTAATTTAGAAAACTACCCATATAGTGACAATCTGATAACCTAATGACAAGCCTAGCTTTGGAAGTGGTGGGAAGCTCCGAGGATCACCTGCTTGTCACGAGTGCCAGCGGGATCACCAACCTCCTGGGCGGAGGCCGTAAAAGCAAATGTTCAATCGCACCGTGTTTGAGCCCGTCGCTTTTTCATTCAAGGAGCAGAGACGCTGCATCAGGTACTTGTAGCATCGGAACGAAAGAGTTTGCAAAGACTTCAGACATCATGCAAACGATTCCTTCCTGCATCGCTTACCCAAATCCGGCCAAAGCTTTGGAAGGCAACGAGTCGGAGGGAGGCTACTTCGTGAGGCAGGGGTGTGTTGAGGGATAGGAGGGCTCCGAGAAAGCCTTAGTCACAGGTCCAATGTGATCTGTAAGCCTCCGGGAGTTCTGCCCTGTTCCCTCTCGGGTCATGCCTCGTTTTGCGGACTTAACTCGGACAGACTAGCTTTTCGGCCTCTCCTCGTCTCGTAGCAACATAGAGAAGTGAACACCAACACAGCGCTGGCTAGAGGACAACTTGTTTCAACTCCTCGCTGTTTGTGATCGATAAGCACTTGCGGCAGGTTCTATTTTCTACCAAGTGGCGCAAGGGACGCCAGAGAAGCCAATCGCGAAGTCGCGAAGAACGTGACTTTTTCCCAAGGCGGGCTGGAACGGCTCGGAGCATAGGGCAGTTGAGCTGAAACCGGTGACTTGCAGGAACAGGAATGATTACAATTACTTCGTCGAACGACGAGTATGCGGTGACCTTGAATGCCACACCGCATGGAGAGTACATCAAAATTGAAGTGGAAGCATCTAGAGGCCGGGACGGGACTGCTCTTAAACTTGTTGGAAGCCTAGCGAGCGGACACATTTCATGTGTACGGAACAGCAAAGACTTGCGGTCGTTTACAAGCTTCGACTGTCATGTTGCAAATACTGTCGGGATAGCCGACAACATGCCCGGACTTTGACCAGCCCTGCAGGCGAGCAGGTCCTTCACGACATTCGCATGTGTACCTTGTGTGCATGATTGTGCGTGTGTGTGAAGCCCTGCAGCCAAGGGTCCAACCAAGCAGCTCAGTTTTAAGGGAAGCAGTGGGTGCCAGGAGGGTATGAGTGCTCGCGATGGGTTCGTGGATGCAGGAACCTGTACCTGCAAAGGCCAGCCCAAAGTAATCTTAAATTGTTGTTGATGCAACTTGCTCACTCATGTATAGCTTCGGCTATTCGAGGGTCGTTCCAGGTGGCTGGAAATCTGTCATAGAGCCAGCCGTGAGGCTTCAGAGTTCTTGAGAAAGCTCGGTGGCCCGAAGGATCAGTGCGACAGATCAACAAAACACACTGGCGTGGGAGGGGGCTGCCGTTTTGACTTGCGAGTTCCCACACGAACCACCAACAGGATGATGTCAGGTCGTCGGAGGCTGACCGAACACGTTGCATGATTTGTCATGTGCTTTCAGTTGTTGTTTGTTTTTTTTGTTGACTCCTTTATTCTCTTTCCTTCAGATTTTGTTCGTCATGACCCTTTCACTTTCTCGTCTCGACTCTTTTCTGCCGTCTCCATCTCATCGTTAACATGTTTCTTGTGTTTTCTGGTTTCGTTTGTTTGCCTGTTCACTACGTTTGGAGCAGATGACTCCTTTCGTCCTTTTCCTCCACGTTCTGTTTTTCATTACCCCTTCATTTCGCTGTCTCCACTCATCTGTTGCCCGCCTTCCATGCCATGGTTACGGTTTGTAAGTGATTGCAAGAGTGTGCAAGGGGTTGCATGGTTGTTTGATACATGTCTTGATCTGATGCGACTGCAAATGAATCTGTCTCCGCTGTTTTCTTGCCCTTCCATCTCACCGCTGCAGTTCACTCTTGACCCCTGGATGCAAGTGATTGCAAAGTTGTTTGATACTGCTGTGACTGCAAGTGATTGCGAGCGGCCGCAAGTGATTGCTACCCTGTCACTGGGGAAGCTGTATGTGTGATGCCCTGTCGCCAACATGCTCTAGCCTTTTCGAGAGATTTGCCAACGTTTTTGGTTGAATGCTCTAGTCCCTTTTCGCGCGATTTGCTCTTGCGTTGCAAAACTTGAGGCACTCTCGAGCTCCTGAGCTCTTTTTTTCAATCTGGCTTTCGAGCGGTTTGGTTTTCTTTCTCATGTACTGGCGGGCCCGTGGGCCCGTTGGTCGTGGTTTGGCTGTGCTGTCCCTGGCAAGGGCCCTTCTCCATCTCTAGTTCCTGTGGGCGGTGTACTCCATGTTTCTCAGTCAGTGTGGCCCGTTTCGAAAAAACGTGCTTTCCTGTTCCTCTACTACTCGAGTCGCTTTCGAGCTGTTTGCTCCTCGAGCGGTTTGCTGCTGCGCGATTTGCTCCTGTTTTTCAAGCACTCTAAGTTCCTTGGAGCGGCTTTTGCTCTAACTTCTCCAGCACTCTAGTCCCTTTTGAGCGGTTTGCTGGTCCCTTTTGCTTTCGAGCGGTTTGCTTCCTTTATCTCAAACACTCTATAGTCCCTTTCCAGGGGGTTTGCCTTTGGAGCGGTTTGCTCCTGTTTTTCACGTGCTCTAAGTTCTTTGGAGCGGTTTTTGCGTCTATTTCTCAAGCACTCTAGTCCGTTTTTTCGAGTGGTTTGCTTGTATTTCTCTCCTACTGGTCTCTTTCGAGCGGTTTGCTCCTGTGTCTCAATTCCTCTAGTCCCTTTTGCACTTTGCACGGTTTGCTCCTGTTCCTCAAACACTCCAGTCCTTTCCGAGCGTTTTGCCTTCGTTTCTCAGATGCACTAGTCACTTTCTGGTGGTTTGCTCTACAGGTTCGTAGACCCCATAATGCTGTTCGGGAAATACCCTCAAAGTGCTGTCGGTTCACAGTGGCCTTAATAAAGTGAACCCGATCTGAAAGAATGACGTTCTGAATTGCGAAGGAAGGAGACATGCTCTAACTTGCTAACCCATGTGATAGCTCTGATTTTTTCGAGGGTTTTCCAAAAGTGTGTGTGTGTGTGTGTGGGCGAGCTGGCAGAAGTTGCCAGGCTTTGTGCCGAACCCTTGGGAGCCTGGGCAAACGGACTTTGAGCTGGAGCTGGTGGTTGATGTTGGCCTTGCTACCTGGCTGCATGTAGAAAGACAGAGAGCGAGAGAGAGCGAGAGAGAGAGAGAGAGAGAGCGGGACGCACAGAGGGCTTACTTAGAACGTTCAGTGTGAGTCGCGGAGCACCGCCGAATGCAATGCCACTCCGTATCACATCGGCAAGCACGAAGGAGATTCGAGCACCTGCATGAGCACGGGGTGTTAGGGGCGAGTAGTCCTATGGTGGTCTACCGGAGAAGTCTAATACAGAAGAGCCCGGTTGGCTCTACGCATGGGCAAAACTGCACGCGAGAGAGCAGCCAAGACATCGGCAGGTATTGTAAGGGAAGTCGGGAATTTGCTGGAAAAACAGGACGGCGTCGAGGCATCGTGGGCTGATGCAGGGCAGGCGTGCGAGAAATCCTCCTGGCATCATTGTGCTTTGCAGTCTGTCGAGCTGCCAGGCCGCTATACCAGCATGGCTTGGCCCCACCGGCGCTGTGGGACCCGGATAGAATCGGGATGTGGTGGCGGTGAGTTAAACTCCGACGACTTCGGTGACTGTAAGTTCTAACCGGCAGACAGCACCTCGCAGGACTGCTGCCACTCGATTTCCTGGTGGACTGCAAGGCCACCAGAACCGCGCTCCACGCGCGCTGGACCGGCGGATTGCTTGGTGCAGGCGGACAGTTTCATTGCATACAACGAATGTTTGCTATGCTGACTTGCTCAAGAATGGGCCTTGTGTTGGACAACAGTTGTGATCAAGAGCAGCGCTGCTTTCTGCAAGGCTCTCGTGGAGCTGTGGCTTTGGCTGCCGCTGGGAGTGCGGAGCACTTCTCCCATGCGCTGGCTGCTGTGCAAGGTGTCACAATCGAGCCATTTAGTCACATGCAGTGGTCGTGTCATGCAAAGTCGCAGGGAGGAGTTGCAGATGTAGCGTAGTGTTATCCTTTGCTGATGTGGCAGGAGGTGAAGCTGGCTCGCTGCCTGGTCCAAGGCTGCAGATCTGCAACATCAGCATTGACCGGTTGCCCGTGACATAGAGTTGCAGGAGGCCATCGGGTGGTGGCCTCTGGTTGGCGCCGACATCCTTACCACAGGCGAGATGTACACGAAGATTATAAATACCGGTCTTTGCGAGCTTCCCTGTAGCGGTAGTTGGTTTGTGCATGGAAGACGATGACATGAAAAACTGTACGGTCGTTAACTGACATCGGTGGTTGCTCATTGCAAATCCGCGTTTACAGTGACAACCTGCTCCTGTAGCTATGTCATATTTTGGATCATATAGTGTCAGCTGTCCTCGAGCTTTGTACCCTTCATCATCTGTCAATGCGCAATGTTTTGCCCGAGAGCTCTGAGGCTCTCAGGGCAAAAGCGCAGGTGTGGTGGTAGAGTGTTGCAGCAGGTCGCATGTTCATTGGTAAACGGATGACAAGGAGAAGCGAAATCCAAGTCCCGGAGTAGGGAAGCAGGCAGCATGATAATGAACAAGAGAAATGCCGAGTACATGACAGAAAGACGCTGAAATTGGTGGAGGACTTCGAGGCACTGCACCGGGCGCTCGCGAAGGCCAGGGCCCGGGGCCTCCGGCTCCCGGCTCCGCCAGCAGTGGCACCGCAGGCACAGCGCATGTCTTTCAGGTTCCGGGGCATTTGTGGCAGAGTTAATTAAACCCTACACCCTAAACCCTAAACCGGGAATGTCCGTGACTGTGACTGCAACCGAACTCAATCTGACTGCCCGGCTGCTGTGACAGGTCCAGCCATTCGAGTTGCAAGTGGAGGTGCGGCTCCCAGCATCTTCCAGCATTGACGGTAGAGTCCGGTAGGGTGCCATTCCATAGGCGGATCTGCAGCTCTCGGCTGCAGGAGCTAGTCAGGTTTCAGAGGTTTTATTTAGTTCACCTTAGCACGGGAACGAACACAGCAATGTTGAGTGCTATGTAGTCACACGTCATATTCAAGCCATATGATGTTTTGTTATCTGACTTGTGAGCATTCACAATGTTCAAGCGGATGTGTGTGTATAATATATAAATAAATATATATATATATATGTCTATATACACCCTGCATTTAAACATACACATGCTACCTGTACTAACATCACCGTATTGTTATGATGGAGTGGAAGTGGCAGCTAAGAAGCAACCTCATGGTGCAGGTCTCGGCTGCTTCCGCACAGTCATCTACTACTATGTTGGCAGTGGTAGTGACAAAGAACCCGTTGTGTTTCTTATGTAACCGAATCTACCCACATCCACCAGCACACAATCACCTATGCAGACTATTCACATTCTCTGCTGAAGCCAGATTTTTCTTCGCTGCTCCGAATTCTGTTTTGGTAAATCTTGGAACAGAATCTCGATGCTGACAGATCTCCACACAGCTCGCTTGTCCGGAGCCTGGGAGCTTGCTCTTTGAGGCTGCCCGCCCACGGTTTGTTAAGGGCCAGATGATCGTGAGTAGCAAAACGTCAGCTACGTACAGTTAACATGCTTGTAGCCGTGTATTGAAACATGCGATCGTGTCAGTGTGCCCTTCTTTTCACCAGCTCGATTTCAGCATCCAGGTGCCGTAAGTCTGTTAGGGTGTAAAGTCCAGGAAGCCCTCCCCAACGAAGCACTTTCTTCCTTGAAGCCTCGTAGGCAGCCTTGGCGTCGCGAAGCTTCGAAGCTTTGGGTACCGGAATGCTGGCAGCACCACTGGGGCGAGACTCTGAGGAGGCAGCAACTTTCTCCAGGAGTGATCAGCCCTCTCTGAGGTAGAGTATAAACACCAGCATACTCAGAGGTGCCAGATCCAGGCGGTTCTTCGGTAGGGATTTCTGACTGCCTGAGAGCGATGCCCGGGTCGTTCAACACAAGTCTTTCGAAACAAATCAATCTAAATGTGGAAGTCATCGAATCTGTCTTGTTCTTGGAATGTCAGGAGGTGTTTTATCCAATTGACGAGAGCACATTAGTCACAGCTATCAGCCCCCCTATTGCTGTCAGTATCTGAAAGCCAAAAGAATCCAAAAGAGTTCGTGCAGACAGCGCAGGCACTCGTGATGCTGGACGCAGCGACAGCAGGCCCGTCCCGAACTTGTGGAAGAGGCAGTCAGGCCACTGTGTCAGATCATCACGTGATGCGCAGACGGCACTTCCAGGCGCCCTGGGGGGTTATTGCTGCAATATAATATAATATAATATAAAATTAATATAATATAATATAATATAATATAATATATTATAATATAGCATAATATAGTATAATATAATATAATATAATATAATATAATATAATATAATATAATATAATATAATATAATATAATATTGCTGCTTCCGAAGAGGCATGTTCTCGAGCCTCGCCGCTACGGAGAGCATCGATGGCTTCACAGAGCTGAGGCCGATCATGCTCCGACCGGCATCGGTTCGTAAAGGTTCTGAGGACGAAGGTGGACATCCGAGTCAGGAGGATCAGGCTTGCTAGCATGTCCAAGTCATCCCCAGCTCGAGATTCAATTTTTTCTTGTGGCCGTCTTTGTGACTGGAAGTGTCGGGAGGATGGATGCTGGGTTGCCAAGCTTAAGGCCTTCTTGTTAAGCACATTGGCAGCAAACTTTCCCGCAATCTGAAGTGATGGCTCAAACTGTGAAATATATGGTGGTGTCAGCCGCCGAAGATGCCAGACATGGCGAGCTGCGAGATCGAGGTCCTTTCGATTAGAGCCCTGGTCAGATCTCAGCAATGCTTTCCTGTTGCACCCCATGCTTTGCTTTTTTGTCTAGGGATGAGTGCGTTCACTGAGAATGAGGGCATGGATGAATGCCCAAAACCATGCAGCCCATGCATTCAGACTCTCATTCGGCGACTCATTTTTCAAGCCTGCTTACTCTGATCGAGCGGAGGCATAGTAGCGGATGCTTTGCAGCCAAAGCTCTCTCAATGACTCAACCCAGCCCCGAGCACCCAAGATCACCGAAGATCCTCATCATCCCAGTTTCCCAGGCGATGGGACAGCTTTGGAGTTGTGTCGCCTTCCAGCGTTGGATGACGCGATGTGGGCCGAGGATCGGGAAGGGCGAGGACTATCCTGTCATTGAGAGGTCCTTGTCAGGGTATTGAATTGCGGAAAGGTGGAAAGGCATGGAGTTAGAAGGTTTTACGGCTGGGTCCCCGTCGTGGAACTTTTCCATTCTAGGATCATGTGGTGAATCAATCCATTCCCTGCTCAGGATGCAAGCATCCGAATAGCAAAAAGTAGATCTGGCGGCCGTTTTTCCTTCAGCTTCACTGCAGGTCAAGGCCTACGTAGCGCGCAATCCAGAGACTGCCTCCTCGATGCATTGTGTTTCCACAGCCTAGCGTGACAGGGTGGATAAGGACTTGCGCATGTAGCGGCGGAGTCAGGACCGTTACGACTTTTATGGAACTTGCTTTCAGCTTACAGTTGCTTGACAGAGTGCAGTCCGCAGTGTGCTGACACTCTCCATCAGCATACCCCCAGCCTCGGGATGCAGCTTGCAGCTTTGCGTTTGCAGTGAAGTCACCATAATTTTCGCTCCCTCCCTGTGGCATGCAGCATGCAACGTTGCTTCTTCTTCTTCTTCTTCATCATCATCATCATCATCCTCATCACCATCGCCATCATCATGATGATCATCATCATCTTCATCATCATCATCAGCATCATCATCACCATCACCATCATCATGATCATCATCATCATCATCATCATGATGATCATCATCACCATCACCATCATCACCATCATCACCATCATCACCATCATCATCATCGTCTTCACCATCACCATCACCACCACCAGCACCACCACCAGCACCAGCACCACCACCAGCACCACCACCAGCACCAGCACCACCAGCACCACCACCGCCATCATCATTATCATCATGATTCGCGTAAGAGTGAAACTCTAGCCTGCTACCATTGGGCTTGAAGTGCTGCCGATGACATGTGCCGGCAGTTTCAGTCGGGCTGACCAAGGCAAAGGCTATGCAGGGCTTCGCGCGGAACCCAGAGGCCAGAGGCTGCTCTGAAGAGTCGGAAGACTAAGAGCAGGCTTCGGAATGCTTCGCTTGTTCTTGAGGCATGCCGGACAGCTGACCCAAAATTTCGATGCTTGCACCCCTGCTGCCCGAGCAAGGAAATCTTCATTGATACATGATGCCGATACTCGATTGGTACCCAGCCCGCTTTGTCTCTCCGCGTTGGAGGCCATGCAGGGTTGGCTCCAAATGCGAGCGGCTGCATCTTGACTTGAACCATCTCTCAGCCGGTATTGGTGAGGTGAGCCAGAGCACATCAGAGGATAGAGTGGAAGAGGTTCCGCCATCCAAGTGGAGGGAAGCAAGCTCAACAGGCAGTAACAGCTCCAGACCAGACAGACTGCAGGTGGTACCCATGTAGCGATAACGAGGGACCTCCTGGTAGCTACGAGACTGAACCACGACAGATTGATCTTCACCTCGAGTCGAGTATGTTCTCGGGTGTGACCATCTAGTCGCCGGATCGACATGTGCAGACTCAGGCAGAACATTATCAGATCACGTTGGATCGTGCCTCGTTGCAAGAAGGATGAGATGTGGTGTCGGGCCTGCTTTCGGTTTCAAGGTTAATGTTTGCAAACTGCGGCAAGTGCGGATACTGTCAAAGTCCAGGTACCTCTTTCCCAAGCCTTTTGCACTGGGTCAGGTGACATTGAGCTACACAACTTGATCGAAGCCCTTGAAGCTGACGAGGCTGTGGCTCGTGGCTCATGCGCGCTTGTGAGAGCGACATCAAAAAGAGGGCGAACGAAAATTGCTTCTCGAAGGAGCTGGCACCGGTCTTCGAGGACCTCCGGAAAAATGGCATGCAGGCCCACGCACCGTCTTGAGACAGATCCCTTTTATCGTAAGTTAGAAAACTCGAGGCCGCCATGAAGTATTCAGACGAAGCGCTGATGCTCAAAATCAGCAGCTCGGCTTAGGCTTGATTCAGGCCTCGCGCAAACGCCCGGGTTCCTTTCATCGTCACCGTGCATTTGCAACCTCGCTGCTGTTGAAGCTTCTCTGTCATTTGGAGATTTGGAGCGTCTCATGTCTTCTTCCTGTCTTTCCCTTGGCCCAGGCAA